TGGAACTCCTTTCTCTTGTGTGGTGGAGGGGGGAGCTGGGGGTTCCTTTCACACACCCCCTCCCAGCAAAGCCTCTCAGCTGTAGACAAGGAACAGAGTCAATAAATGTTCTCTGGATTCTTACACACAGCCAGCTGTGTTCTGTGCAGGCTGTCTTAGGCTGTGGGCCCAGGGCTTGGAGACCAAGCCGCTCTATCTACTATTCAGCAGAAGAAGTCTGCTGCAAAAGCTAAGATACAGATGCAGAAAATCAGGGGTGTTGGGATCTGGAGAAGGGATGGGAACCTGCACAGGACATGGATTCAGGCCACTCGGACACTCAGCACTCTGGCCTCAGCCTGGGACCTGCGTCAGATCTGCTCCACAGAGTCCCTGAAGAACGTCAGGTTTGCGGGACTCAGACTGTGACTTCTCTTGCTCCTGGCTGCAGAGAAGCTGCAGGCTCACCAAGGCGTCCATCCACAGTGCTGCCAGGGGTACAGATACCTGCAGCTTTTCAGGAAGACCCGGTGCCGCCCACAGCCTGAGTGTGGAGCCAGACCTTGCCCAGCCCAGCAGCCCGGGAGCCAGTTCTCAGAACTGTGGGGTGAAAACTGCTGGTTGCTGCAAGCTGTTAAATCAGGGCCAGGCGATAGTGCAGCAGGCAGGGCACTTGTGGCAGACCCAGGCTCAATCCCCAGCACCCAGTATGGTCCCCTGAGCCCCGTCAGGAGTGATCCCTGAGCACAGCTGAGTGTGGCATCAAAACCAAAAAGAAGACTAGAGAACAAAACCAAGCTGTTAGACCAGATCAATGTGCTACCCAACAGTAAGTAACAAGACAAGGGCTTATGTTTATTTTATATTTAAAAATAAGGGGCTTGAGCCAGGAGTCAGCCCTGAGCACTCCTAGTTGTGGCCCCAAAACCAAAATATAAAATGTAACATCAGGAGCAGCACCCTGGCCTTTGGAGTCACCCCAGAAAATGGAGCTGTCCAGTTCTTTCCTTGCCGATCATTGTAACCAGTAAAGACCATTGTTGGCACCATTAAAAACAGAGGCCGGGGGCACCAGAGTGATAGTACAGCAAGTAGGGTGCTTGCTTGCAGTTGACTAGGTTTTGAATCCCAGCACCCCAGATGGCCCCCTCAGCACCACCAGGAGTAAGCCCTGAGCACGGCTAAGTGTGGCCCAAAAAAAGGAAAGAAAAATGGAGTGGAAACCACAATGACATAGCAGAGATAAGACCAAACATTAAACATGAATGACGTTTGATATTCCCAGTGGCAGGGAGGGTCTGAGTAACCCAGAATGTGAAACACTGGTAGGAATGAAAAAGTGTGACCACATTGGAAACACCCTTGCAGTTTCTTAAAAAGCTAAATGGTAACCCATCATGTAGCCTCTGTGTTCCTGCCTGAGTATTTCCCCCAAAATAAAAGCCAGGTGCACTTGAGGACTTAAGCAAAAATATTCATTGTGAGTTTTTATGGTAACCCCAAGCTTAATGAAACTCAAATTTCACCACCAGATGAAATAGACTGGGACAGCCAACAGTGGAATGAATGCTCCATTTTAGAATTATTTTTCCTGGGTTTCACGAAGTCGTGATACCGCCCCCCAGGGGTCCAATCAGGGAGTGGTAGTTGTGATGTGCAACTGGGTGCACTTTCTTTTTGTTCTCCTAAAGAAGGTGGGTTTTTGGGGCTGGAGAGGACCTGAGTTGAAAGTGTGGGGTAGGCCAAATGTTTGTGTACACATGATCTGTACACAAGACAACACAGGTAAATTTCTTTATTTTTTTAATTTAATTTTATTTTTATAAAGTAGTTCACAGTATTTGATTACATTTAATATTCGAACACCAATCTCACCACCAGTACCCCTTCCCACTACTATATTGCGGTGTTTCCATCAATAACCCCAAAGCAGAACTGAAATAATTTATTTTGTATTGTTTGTTATGAATAAACCGCTGAAAATGCTCCAGAAAAAGTTTCCTTAGAGGAAAGTGTGTGAAGATTGTTGTATTTCACCCAGGGACCATTGAGTCCTTCTATAAGAGATCGCTGACATACTGTTAAAAGTTGAGCCTTGTGTGCTTATATATCTGTGAAAATATATTTCCCTCTAAGATTGGTTGCCTTCTACTTTAAACCCCATCAACTGTGGTGCGCTAGTCTTGGAATATGAGTGGTGTGAGGTATGAGACGCGAAGTCCAGGAATAGGTTCACTCATGGGTGAGGCTCAGCCCAAGTGTGTAGAGAGCAACCGTGAGCATGGCGGTGGTTGAGTTCTAGAGGTTTTGGGCTGCCAGGCCTGGGTCCCTTGGGATAGGGAGGAGCCTCACCCACCCCCCTCCAGGATGCCTGGAATGGAACAGCCTGGCCCAGGGTCTGGCTGCATGGGTTTGGTGAGTCGTTTTATTCTCTTTCGAGAAAATTATGAGTTTCTGAATCATGGCCGTTGATGAGATTCACAGATGAATTTAAAATAATTTAATCAGACTGCTTTGTACTGCACAGACCAGTATACACTGCTTGATCCCACTCATGGTTCTAGACAGACCGCCAACAGTAGTGACGGACCCCACTTTACTCACTTTTGGTGGATGTCTTGGCAGGAGAAGGGGAGGGGGTGTTATCAAGGGTTAGGGGAATTGTTGGGGTGTTGGGGACGACCACTCTTCCTGGGTCTGCATGCAGATGAAAACTTACCAGATTTACACTTTGAATATGTGCAGTTTACTATACGTGAATTTGACCTCAATAACGTGATTTGACAATTGAGAGTAAAAAGCCCTTACTTTGGGTAGCGTTTTTGAGACTGGCAGGTAACAGTTGCTCATTGAAAGCTGCTCCCACATGGAGGCTGGAGAGATAGAACAGAGGGTAAGACTTACATGTGGCTGACCTGGGTTCGATTCCCCAGCATCCCATATGGTCACCTGAGCACTGCCAGGAGTGATTCCTGAGTATAGAGTCGGGAGTAACCCTGAGCATCACCAGGTGTATCCAAAAACTTGGGGAGGGAAGTTGAGCCTGGCTCCCTCCTGGCGTCCCCATGCCCTCTGGTGGCCACTTTGGGTACTGCAGTCTTACTCTCTTTGGCCCTTTACCCTACATTCCTGCTTGAGATGCCAGTGACAATCAGAAATAGAGAAAAACAGCACTGAAGCACTTCAGGGAATAGTTGTGGAGTATCTTTTAAAGTTGGGTGAGTGAAATGCGTCCGGTCCCAGCAGTAGGTTACCGGCGCTGGGTCACCCCAGATGGGAGTAGGTTTCGTGCCTTGGCCTCTTCCCCCTGGCGGCCAGGTGGCCGCCATCCTCCAGAGGCCACTGGACAGTCAGGTTTGGGCCCTAAGTGATGAGACACGTGGGGCCTCACGGGATGGGGGTGGAGCCGGCCTTTCCTCCCTGTCCCAATGAGACCCTGAGTCGCCGCACTTGAACGGCCTCTCTGGCTCCTGATCAAGCTGCTTAACGACCATGATCCCAGAGACTCAGGAACAAATCTCAGAACCCAGCATGTTTTCGCAGAAATCCCTCCAGATTTAATTGTTAAAACTTCGGAATTTCAAAATCGCGTGGCCACTACTGCAGCCGCGCAACATCATTTATTATTCATAACCAGCAATAGAAAACAAATTGTCTACTGTTGCCTTTTCGGCAGATCTGAATGTTGGGGTAAAATCCCAAGTAATAATGGTGGGTCTGGTGTCAAAATATTGAGTGTAATCAAAGTAGAGAGAGAGTAATGTGGAAATCATCGGCCCCACAGGTAGGGGGAGGGTGTGGGATGGGGGTATACTGGGGTTGTTGGGGGTGGAGAATGGGCACTGGTGAAGGTATGGGTGTTTCATTGTATGACCGAGACTTAAACCCGAAAGCTTTGTAACTGCTCTCACGGTGATTCAATAAATAAAATTATGAAAAATTTTAAAAAAGTAAGATGAAGTTCATGCCCAATTCAATCAGCCTAATCAGTGGCTGAATAAATAGCAGTACTCTACATAAAATAAATAAATAAAGTTGGGTGAGTACAGCCTCTGGTCCAGCAGCCTCTGTGATCACATACTTAGGTCTCACAAAAGAAATTCCGTGCTCAGTGGTAGCGCACTTTCCTCACATGTGTGAGGCCCTGGCACTGAGAAAAGGAAAAGGAAAAAGAAACATGGGACTGGAAAGATAGGACAGAGAGAAAGGTGTTTGCCTGGCACACGGCCAACCCAGGGTCAATCCTCAGCATCCCATAGGGTCCCCTGATTCCTGGCAGAAGTGATCCCTTAGCTCAGAGCCAGGAGTACGCCCTGAGCATCACCAGGTGTGAAAAAGAAAAAGGCAGACAGGAAGAAAGATTAAAGAATGTTCACAGCATCAATATTGGTAATCATTGCAAACTGGAAACAGTCTGAATCTCTGGAGGAGAATGATGAAGCAAGCTGTACATTTGTGGCAGGCCAACCCTAGTGAGGCCCAGAACACCGTCCGTGTGTGGTGAAAGCATTACCGCAGGAGATGTCCCCCTTGGTCTCTGTCCTGGTTCTGGTGCAGGGCTCTTTAAACCCTGGGAATCTCTGAGAGAGAAGAGCACCGGAACATCTTTGTTTAACCGGTGCTCTCTGCGTGGGCTCCTGGGTGGGGGGCTGGCCACAACAGGGACTGGGGGCTTATAATTCCAGCCCCACCCCCCACCCTGAGAGTGAGAAGGCTGGCAGTGGGGCCCTGGGCTCAACCTGTGGCAGGTGGTAGGAAGGGGTCCACAGGGTAGTGACGGGCAAGAGCTCGTGATGCTGGAGCAAGAGGCTGTCTACCTCAGGAAAGGACCCATGTGCTTTGCCTGCTGACTAGGGCCCTCTGCAGCCTCTGACCTGCCAGGAGACTTGGCCTGGCTGAGGCCCCTCAAAGGCCATCTATTTGTGGCCTGGACACTGGTGTTAGCAGGGGACATGTGACCAGGGGTGTATTTTGGGCAGTGGGTGGAGCCTGTTGTGGGAAGCCCAGCACCATGCCGTTCTGGGACAGGCTGCTCGGACGTTCAGCGCTGCTGCCCAGCTGGCCCTGGGGTCCCAGGTAGGATGCTGTGAGCCCCTCTCTCCCACCCTGAGGAGCCCCAAAGACAGGCCACCCCACAGGGCTTCCTGGGGATCAGAAAGAAGGGCCAAGTTCAGTGGGTTGGAGATACACGGTGCCCTGGCCTCAGGGTTCTTGTCTTAAGGGCCGCATGCCCGTGAGCTGTCCTACGTCCAGTGGAGTGGACCAAAGACTGTGGGCGCCACTAAGGACTCTGGTCTCACTGAGACAGGGCAGCTGGGTAGGCCTGGGACAGGGGCCCTGAGGTGGCCAACAGTCTGTAGGAGATGAGCTCACTTCCGCTCTGTAACTGCTGACCGGTCCCTGGCAGGGCTAGACGACCTCTGAGCAGCCTCTGACCTTGGTGAACCTGAAGGAAACCCAGCTGACAGAGGTCACACCCAAGGCTGGTCACCTGCTGGACACTGTGGCCCTTCCCCATGGCCAGCAGGGGCGCTGTGCCAGGCCAGGGCTAACTCTTGCTCCCAGTGAGCTCGGTGAGGGGAGTAGGGAGGGGTAGAGGCTGTTCTGGGAGCACAGGCTGTGCTGCCCAGCCTTGGGCATCCTCACTGAGCCGTAAGCACGTCTGATTTTGGGGGGCGGCCACTGGCTCTGTGAACTTGCCCTTCAGGGCCCCTTGGACGTGGCAGCTGTGCCCAGGGTGGGCGGGCAGCTGGGGGAAGGGGGCGACACTCTCCGGCTCTGTCCTGCTTCTTTTCAGGGCCAAGAATGGAGAGCTGGCCCAGAGCCCAGAAGGTGGGGGCCACCCCAGTGGGCAGCCGGGGTAGAGGCCACGTGTGCCAGGCCTGTAAACCCCACCCTGTGCCAGCCGAGAGCCGGTGCTGACCAGAAATGGAGAACTTCCAGTACAGCGTCCACTTGAGCGAGCAGGACTGGGCTGAGTTCTCGGCCACAGCCGAGGAGTGTGACCTCCTGCAGGCCAGCCTGGCCTCCGGGGACGAGCTCCTGTCCAGTGACATTGACCAAGGGGACAGCAGTGGCAGTAGTCCCCCTGGGCCTCCACCTCATGTCAAGGGGCCATCTACTCCTGGGGGGAGGGGCTGGCCCGGCTTCGAGGAAGAGGACAAGGCGGTCACCCGACAGCTGGTCAGCAGTTCTTGGCGTGAGCCTGGCCTGGCCCTGGGGGCCAGTCAGCAGACGCCGAGCACGTCCACACAGTCGGAAGTTTGGCTGTCCCTCGGCTCTAGCCAGAACTCGTCCTCCCTTGGGTCTTCCAGATCCGAGATGCAGCGACTCTTGCAGGGACCAGCCTCCCGGGGTCCTGCCCTCAGCCCCCCTGAAGGGACTTCTCAGAGCTCAGAGGCCCCCGCCGGCAGCGCCACGCCCCAGGGGCACCCCAGCAGCCCTGGAGCCCCTACACGCAACCCCAGCCGAAAGAAGAGGCGCTCTGCAGGCACCAAGGCCGGAGGGCGCTCGGGATCCACTCCCACCCAGTCCACCTCCCCTCTGGGGGCCAACACCAAGTCCAGGAGTCCAGGGCCTGGGGAGGGACCCTTGGCTCCGGTTGGAACGCGGACCCCAGGCACCAGGCAGGAAAAGCCATGGCAAGACTCTGCAGAGGCCCCTGAGCAGATGGCCACACAGGGTTTGGATCTGTCTACACCTGCCTCTCCGACCAAGCAAGGTCAAGATGGACTCAGAATGACCTCTGGGGCCCAGTCACATGCAAAATCCTCACCTGCCCAGGAGGGTCGTCTGGATAACTCAGTGGCTAAGTTAGACACACCTCCGTCTACACCTGCCTCCAAGCCTCAGCCTGATATGCCTCTGTCTACATCTGCCTCCAAACCTCAGCCCAACACGTCTCCATCGACACCCGCCTCCAAGACTCAGCCTGATATGCTTCCATCCATACCTGCCTCCAAGCCTCAGCCCGACACACCTCCGTCTACACCTGCTTCCAAGCCTCAGCCTAATACACCTCTGTCTACACCCGCCTCCAAGCCTCAGCCTGATATGCCTCTGTCTACATCTGCCTCCAGACCTCAGCCCAACACGTCTCCGTCTACACCCGCCTCCAAGCCACAGCCCGACACACCTCCGTCTACGCCTGCTTCCAAGCCTCAGCCTAATACACCTCTGTCTACACCTGCCTCCAAGCCTCAGCCTGATACACCTCTGCCTACACCCACCTCCAAGCCTCAGCCTGATATGCCTCTGTCTACACTCGCCTCCAAGCCTCAGCCTGATATGCCTCTGTCTACATCCACCTCCAAGCCTGAGCCTGATATGCCTCTGTCTACATCTGCCTCCAAACCTCAGCCCAACACGTCTCCGTCTACACCCGCCTCCAAGCCACAGCCCGACACACCTCCGTCTATGCCTGCTTCCAAGCATCAGCCTAATACACCTCTGCCTACACCCACCTCCAAGCCTCAGCCTGATATGCCTCTGTCTACACCCGCCTCCAAGCCTCAGCCTCATATGCCTCTGTCTACATCCACCTCCAAGCCTGAGCCTGATATGCCTCTGTCTACATCTGCCTCCAAACCTCAGCCCGACACGTCTCCGTCTACACCCGCCTCCAAGCCACAGCCCGACACACCTCCGTCTACGCCTGCTTCCAAGCCTCAGCCTGATACACCTCTGCCTACACCCGCCTCCAAGCCTCAGCCTGATATGCCTCTGTCTACACCCGCCTCCAAGCCTCAGCCTGATATGCCTCTGTCTACATCCACCTCCAAGCCTGAGCCTGATATGCCTCTGTCTACATCTGCCTCCAAACCTCAGCCCGACACGTCTCCGTCTACACCCGCCTCCAAGCCACAGCCCGACACACCTCCGTCTATGCCTGCTTCCAAGCCTCAGCCTAATACACCTCTGCCTACACCCACCTCCAAGCCTCAGCCTGATATGCCTCTGTCTACACCCGCCTCCAAGCCTCAGCCTGATACACCTCTGTCTACATCTGCCTCCAAACCTCAGCCCAACACATCTCCGTCTACACCCGCCTCCAAGACTCAGCCCAACACACCTCCGTCTACACCTGCCTCCAAGCCCCAGCCTGATACGCCTCCATCCACACCTGCCTCCAAGCCTCAGCCTGATACACCTCTGTCTACACCCACCTCCAAGCCTCAGCCCGACACACCTCTGTCTACGCCTGCCTCCAAGCCTCAGCCTGATATGCCTCTGTCTACACCCGCCTCTAAGCCTCACCTCAACACACCTCCGTCTACACCTGCCTCCAAGCCTCAACCTGACACATCTCTGTCTACACTCTCCTCCAAGATTCAACTTGATACACCTTTGTCTACACTTGCCTCTGTGCCTCAGCCTAACATGCCTCTGTCTATACCTGCCTCTGAGGTTCAACCCGATATGCCTCTGTCTACACCCTCCTCCAAGATTCAACCTGACACACCTCTCTGTACACTTGCCTCTAAGCCTCAACTCAACACAGCTTCGTCTACACCTGCCTCCAAGCCTCAGCCCGACACACCTATGTGTACACCCGCTTCCAGGTCTCAGCTCAGCACTCCTCTGGCTACACTCGTCTCCAGGCCTAGACTGGATACGGACTTGGGTACACCCAACACAGAGGCGGAAGCGGAGGTGGACTCAGCTGCCTTTGCCTCCAAGGCTGCCCCACCTGCAGCTCAGTCTGCTGTGGGCCTGCCCGCACCTGCCCCCGCTCCCCAGAGTGGGCCTTCTGCGCTGGGCATGGAAACTGCCCCCAAGAACAAGCCGGGTCTGAGCCCTGCTGTGGCTTCAGGGTGGCCCCAAGAAAATCCCAAAGGGGAATCCCCAGAAGGCACCCCTGCTGGTCCTGCCCCAGCCCCCAAGAGGAAGAAAGTGCGATTCTCCATGCCGACTTCCTGCCCTGAGGAACCAGACTCGGGGGCAAACTTGGCACCTCCCTCACCTGCTACAACCTGGCCCTCAGCCCTCAGGACAGTGGCCGGGGGTTGCGGGGGGCCTGGAGCCTGGGATGCTGTGGCCGTTGGGCCTCGGCTCCCTCAGCCTCGGATCCTTAAGCGCTTGCCTCCCCCTGCCCCCTCTGCTTCAGCGGGGTCTGGACCTCGGAGCTCCTTTGTGGTGACCCTCCCTGAAGCCTATGAGTTTTTTTTCTGTGACACCATTGAGGAGGAGGAAGAAGAGGCCGAGGAGGCCACAGAGATCCCCACTGAAGTTCAGTGGCCGGATGTGTGTGAGTTCTTCTTCAGAGACAGACGAGCCCAGAGGGCAGGGCTCAGAGGGGGCACCCAAGCCCCGGCACCCGGGAAGGAGCCTGAGCCCATCACTACCCCGGAGGCCTGTGAGCGCTTCCACGGAGAGAATCAGCCAAGGAGCGCATTGGAGCCGGGAGTCCTCCAGCTGCAGGCCACAGGCAAAGAGTCGCCCCCTGAGGCACTGTCCCGGAAAGTGGGGCCTGGCTGCTCCCAGGAACCCCAAAGTGCTGCCACTGAACAGCTCCAGCTGGCACTCAGGCAAACAGGTAGGTGCTGTGTGGAACCAGTGATTGTCCAGCGCCTGAGAACATACTGTGTGCAGAGCTCAGCCAGGAGGGTTAGTAGGGGATAAGAGGGAGAGGAAGGAAGGAAGGAAGGAAGGAAGGAAGGAAGGAAGGAAGGAAGGAGGGAGGGAGGGAGGGAGGGAGGGAGGGAGGGAGGATAGAAGGAAGAAAGGAAGGAAGGAAGGAAGGAAGGAAGGAAGGAAGGAGGGAGGGAGGGAGGGAGGGGGGAGGAAGAATAGTAGGAGGAGGAAGGAAGGAGGAAGGAAGGGAGGGAAGGGAGAGGGAGGGAGGGAAGGACATGGGAGGGAGAAAAGGAGAACGGAGGAAGGAGGGAGGGAGGAAGGGTTCCAGTCATTCTGGGCACAGTCATGGGTGACAGGCTGGGCCACACACTGGCTCTCAAGGACCTGAATCGGCACTGATCTGTACCCTGTGCTGAGTTAGATAGCCCCAGCCCCCAGCAGGATAGGGCTGGGGCAGTTCCTGCTCTGACCTCATGGCATATAGGTCAGATACTCAGTAGACCCCACCTCATGTTCTCTCAGAGGATGTTTATAACCCAGATAGTAATGGCCCAGATACAGCGTTCCCTAATGCTGGAAACCACAGATATACCCGGTGGCAGAGAGGCTGGGGACTGGGCTCAGGCAGTTCCCGGACAGCTGCATACTGCAGCATGTCTGACGACACAGATGGAGCTCAGAATGTTGCTTCTCTTTCTAGGGGAATCCTGGGATCCTCTCACTTCATTTAACTTCAGCCAGAAAGACATGTGCCTGGTGTTTGTAGCCTTTGCCTCCTGGGCCGTGAGGACGTCAGATCTGCACAACCCTGACGCTTGGAAAACAGGTGGGGCCCTGAGGGCTGGGGGACACATGAAGCCCTGGGGAGGGGCGGGTGCCTCTGGAGGGCAGGTGTCCAGTCTCACCCTATCTGGGCCAAGGGCAGGTGTGAGGGCACTGGCCTTCTCTCTGGAGAAGCCACTGCTTGTTCGGTCACCACCTGCTACTGGGCTGGACAGCCGGGGCAGGGAGGGCGGGGGGGCAGGAGGTCAGGGTAGCCCGGGAAGCCGGAGCTCAGGAGGCTCGTGACTTTCCCGCAGTCCTGCTGGCCAACATCGGCACCGTCTCGGCCATCCGTTACTTCCGCCGGCACGTGGGGCGAAGGCATCGCAGCCCCAGCCGAAGCAGGAGCCCCAGCCCCAGCTCCTAGGAGGGTCCTTGTCCAGCGCAGGGTGATGTGGGACAATGGAGCAGACACTGGTGCTCAGGACAGCCCTGCCACCTGTTCTGCCCCGCACCCTGCTTCCTGCAACATCGTGGACGGAGCCAGCCTCGCGCTGACTGTCTTGGGCTCACTTGAGTTGTCCAGACAGCGGCTGCCGAGGCCGAGTCTGCAGAGCACAGCGAGGAAGGGGAAGTGAGAGTCTGACGGGTAGGTGGGAGCAGGTGCTGGTGGGAGGGAGGCCCCGCAGCCAGCCACGTGGCGCTGGGAATGGAGGCACTTTCTCCAGTGAACTGCTGGGGTGTGGCTAACTGGGTTCCTGGTTAGCTGGGGAGGAGAGGCAGAGAAGGATGTCGGAAGGCAGAGAGGCCCCGAGAACCTGGGCTGGGGCCGAAGAAAGGGTGGGCAGGGTGGGTGCGGGGTTCCTGCCTCTGAGGCAGTGGGCTGCAATGTGGGGAGCTGTCGGACAGTCGCAAGGCCCTCATCTGGGAAAGCTAAGTGAGGTGCGAGGCAGAACAAAGCAGGCTAGTCAGAACGGAGCCAGGGGCTGGCGGGAGGGGGCTTCCCGGCTGGCTGCGGGCAGGCATTCAGCCCGGGGCAGCAGGCGCTCGGTCCTGAGCACAGTGGACACACACACCAATAAACTTTTGCTGTCACTTCTTTAGTTCAGTTCCTCTCCACCTGCCCCACACTTGCTGAGACACCCTCCCCTCTGCCCGTGACATCTGACCTTCTGTCCTCTGACCCGCAGACCCTTGGCCTTCACATCTGTGCTACTCCCACTCCCAGGTGAAGACCCAGTCAGAGCTCAGCCCCCCTCCCCTTCCTTCTGGAGCAGGGGCTGGAGTCTGACTCCTCGGGGTAGCAGTTCCTCCGGGCTCCTCCAGACTCCTGGGTCTTCCCAAATCCAGGGTTCCTGACTCGGCGCTAGATGGGGTGCAGGCTGGCCACACCTGTGTCAGGTCTCCAGGGTGGGTACTGGCAGGTGCCGCCCTGCTGGGGACTCAGATCCAGTGCAAGGGCCCCCCTTCAGTCTCAGGCACACTGAACCGGGGCCACCGCTGCCGGCAGGGGGACGGGGCCTTGTCCCAGAGGTTGTCGTAACTCCTGGGGGGACGGCCATCTGTGGGGGAGGGCAGAGATGCTTCTGTCTGTGTGAAGCAGAGTCTGGGCCCCCCAGAAAGATGCAGGCCTCACTCACCTGCAGGAGGAGGCACCGGGAGAGGCAAGCCGTCCTTCGCAGGGGAGACCTGGGGGTCCAACCAAGCAGCCTTAGAGCCCCAGGGGGTGAGGGGCAGCAGCTTTCTCCCACCTCGTCTTCTGACTGCCCCTCCCTCTTCTTTTTTTTTTCATTTTTGGGTCACACCCAGGGATGCACAGGGTCACTCCTGGCTTTGCGCTCAGGAATTACACCTGGCAGTGCTGGGGGACCATTTGGGATGCTGGGAATTGAACCCCAGTCGGCCACGTGCAAGGCAAAGGCCCTACCCGCTGTGCTGTTGCTCTAGCCCCATGCCCCTCCCTTTCCTGGCCTGCTTGCACCCCCATTTTCAGTCTAGGCCACACAAAGGCTGGGGGCAGGGCCGGATGGGCTTCAACTCACAAGCTGCGGGGAGTCTGGTGGTGGTGGGGCCCGACCTCGATGCCGGGGGGAGGCCCGGGATACCAGGGTCCCCTTCTTGGACAGTCCACAGCTGGGGTCCGACACAGGCACCGACACAGGAACCGAGGGGAAAGAGCTTGTGGGCTCGGACTGCAGCGAGCTCTGCATGGCGCTGAGGAACTGCCGGGAGAACACGGAACTGAGGTCCCCCTGAGCCCCTCAGCACGGCCAGACCCCTGCTTCAGACACACCTTGTGCTGCAGGTAGTAGCACCCACACGGCATGTCCCAAACCCTGAACTCAGCCCAGGCTCCAGCAGCTCCCTTCCTATTGCCCAAGCAGGGACTGACCTCGTCCAGGCCCCGAACATCTGTGACCTTGTGGTGGGAGGTGGCGGGTGGCGTGTAGGGGTCAGCGTACAGCGGGGAGTGTGGGGTCTCCAGAGAAGGGTCTGGGGCCTCAGGGCTGCCTTCCACGCGAAGCTGTGGACAAGGGACAGGAGAGACAGGGCTCCTGGGGTGAGGGAAAAGGCCTGGGGGTCCCGGAGGGCAGGAGGGCAGGCCGGTCAAGGGCAGGTCAGCTGCCTAGGCCCACCTTGGTCAGATCCAGGTGCAGGGGGCTGGTAGGACCGGGCCTCTCTCTTCGGGCCTTGCTCCTGGGGGACCGAGTGCTGCCGCTCCGTCTCAACTCTAACTTGTGTTTGCTGGTGCTGTCCCCCTCCTGTGGGGACCAAACCCCTATACTGCTCTGGAGAGTACATGGCCACCGCCACGCAGGAACCAGACCCCAGGGGTGGAGTGACCCAACAGAGCCCCTCGGCCGGAACCTGGTACTCACGGGTGGAGCCTGTGCAGGGCAGCTCACAGGAGACACCACCAAGGATTCAGGGAGAGACTGGCTGGTGTGGGTGGACGGGGGTGCCGGGCACCCCGAGTCCCAGCTGGTCCGTCCATCTGAGGAGAGCGAGCTTCGGCCACCACCCCTGGTCTGGGCAGCCAGGGTGCCAGTGCCGTGATGAGCAGGATAGTGGTCTCTCCCACACTGCCCACCCGGGCTTGCCCTCTGCCCGTGCCTGGAGCTGTGGACAGCGCCCCCTGCTGGTCCTCACCTGTGTGGGTGCCTGGAGCCCTGGGAAGCCCTGGGGACCGGTCACTGCCTGCAGGCACAGAAGCCAGCGGCTGTAATCCTCGTAGCTGGCACACACCACTCGGATGGTGTTGATGAGGGGGCCTGGCACACAAACCCTGTTTGAGAGGCTGGCTGCAGTTTCTCCCCGCAGAGCCCCAGGGCAGAGCCGGGGCCTCCTCCTGGCCCAGGCCCTCACAGTCACCTTCAATCAGGAAAGAGCGGATCTGTTTCTCCTTCTCCTCCAGGTTGATGTGGATAGCACTAAGCGGAAGCTCCCCCTGCCAAGTGCAAGCAAACCAAGCTCAGGGCCAGGAACACTCGATGCATGCTCACCCTCATACACTGACAGGGTGCAAATCATGCACACACCAGTGCACAGCCCCAGGCAAGTACCTGCATGCATGTATACATGCCCTCACACCCACAGGCATGTACACATGCACTCGCACCCATGGACACACATGTACACATGCACTCACACCCATGGACACACATGTACACATGCCCTCACACCCACAGGCATGTACACATGCACTCGCACCCATGGACACACATGTACACATGCACTCACACCCACATGCAAGTACACATGCACTCACACCCATGGACACACATGTACACATGCACTCACACCCGTGGACACACATGTACACATGCACTCACACCCATGGACGTGCACGGACACACATGCACACATCCCTGTGGACAGCACACATGTACACATATCCTTACATACATGGACACACAGGCACTTGTGTCATGAGTGTACACAGGCAGGCGTACACATTCAAATACGATATGCACCTAGGCATATGTCCCTTGTATGCCAGGAAGACGCCCACTGAGAGGTGTGGGCCTCTCAGAACTGGGGTGGGGCAGCAGAGAAGCACTCTGGGGTCATTCTGCTTCAGACCATGCCCCGTGCCAGGGGCTCTGAGATGGGACACCCAGTGGGGAGGGTCCTCCAAGATGGGTTACCCGGGGGGAGGATCCTTGAGACCATATATTGGGGAAGGGGTCTTGAAGAGATTGGACACCGGGGTGGGGAGGGACCCCCAAGATGGGACACCAGGAGGGAGGTCCTTGAGGAGACACGATTCCCCGTGGGGGCGAGATGGCACCTCGCCTGCCTCAGGGCTGAGAACACACTGACCAGGGGCGTGTGGGCGGGACCCGCTTGCTCTGTCACATCACAGGCCTGACAGACAGGTTCGTGCTGAGCCCAACAAAGGGAGTCTCCCTGGGCGGGTCGGCAGCGCAGCCTCACCTTGAAGCAAAGCCCGTCAGCTTCCTCGGAGAAAATGGCCAGGGAGGTCGGGTACAGCAGCAGGAGTCGGTCACACTGCTCCTGGGGGCGAAGGGCGCAGGCGGCTCACAGTCGGCACCCCGAGTCCACCCCACCTGCTGCCAGCACCTTCCCCATGTCATCCGGGGCCATGTCCCTGGGCCCTGTGTCCCAGTGTCCTCACCCATGTCCCATGTCCTCTCCATGTCCCCATATCCCCCCATTCCCCAAGTCTTCCATGCCCCCTGTGTTCCTGTGTCCCCCATATCCTCTCCAAGCCCCATGTTCTCCATGTCCCGTGTCTCCTTGTATCCCTGTGTCCTCCCCATGTCCCATGCCCTTATGCCACGGGGAGGACACGAGACACAGGGAAGACATGGACATAGGACAAAGGGAGAACATTGGGACATGTCCTCCCTGTATCCCGACTTCCCCATATCCCTGTCTTCCTCGTACCCCATGCCCTCCCCATGCCCCACGTCCTTCCCACGTCCCATGTCATCCCGATGCCCCATGTCCTCCTCATGTTCCTTGTCCCCCCTGTGTCCCGTGCCCTATGTCATGCTCTCTGTGTTCCATGTCCTCCCTGTGTCCTGTGTCCTTCCCATGTCCTATGCCACCGTGTCCCCGTCCCCCCCGTGTCCTGTGTCCTCCCCTGTCCTATGTTGCTGTGTCCCCGTCCTCCCCATGTCCCCTGTCCTCCCCGTGTCCCGTGTCCTCCCCTGTCTTATGCCCGTGTCCCCGTCCTCCCCGTGTCCTGTGTCCTCCCCCTGTTCTATGTCGCCGTGTCCCCATCCTCCTCCATGTCCCCCGTCCTCCCTATGTCCTTGCTCCCCATGTCCCCGTCCTCCCTGTGTCATGTGTCCTCCCCGTCCTATACCTCCGTATCCCCTGTCCTTCCCATGTCCTGTGTCCTATGTCCTTGCTCCCCATGTCTCCTGTCCTCCCCGTGTCCTCCCCTGTCCTATGTCACCGTGTCCTCATCCTCCCCGTGTCCTGTGTCCTCCCCCGTCCTATGTTGCCATGTCCCCATCCTCCCCATGTCCCCTGTCCTCCCCATGTCCTGTGTCCTCCCCCTGTCCTGTCACCATGTCCCCGTCCTCCCTGTGTCCTGTGTCCTCCCCCTGTCCTATGTTGCCATGTCCCCGTCCTCCCCATGTCCCCTGTCCTCCCCGTGTCCTGTGTCCTCCCCTGTCCTATGTCGCCGTGTCCTCATCCTCCCCGTGTCCTGTGTCCTCCCCCGTCCTATGTTGCCATGTCCCCGTCCTCCCCATGTCCCCTGTCCTCCCTGTGTCCTGTGTCCTCCCCTGTCCTATGTCGCCGTGTCCTCATCCTCCCCGTGTCCTGTGTCCTCCCCCTGTCCTATGTTGCCATGTCCCCGTCCTCCCCATGTCCTGTGTCCTCCCCATGTCCTGTGTCCTCCCCCTGTCCTGTCACCGTGTCCCCGTCCTCCCTGTGTCCTGTGTCCTCCCCCTGTCCTATGTTGCCATGTCCCCGTCCTCCCCATGTCCCCTGTCCTCCCCGTGTCCTGTGTCCTCCCCTGTCCTATGTCGCCGTGTCCTCATCCTCCCCGTGTCCTGTGTCCTCCCCCTGTCCTATGTTGCCATGTCCCCGTCCTCCCCATGTCCCCTGTCCTCCCCATGTCCTGTGTCCTCCCCCTGTTCTATGTCACCGTGTCCCCATTCTCCCCGTGTCCTGTGTCCTCCCCGTCCTGTCACCGTGTCCCTGTCCTCTCCATGTCCCCTGCCCTCCCCATGTCCTGTGTCCTCCCCCTGTCCTGTCACCGTGTCCCCGTCCTCCCCGTGTCCTGTGTCCTCCCCCGTCCTGTCACCGTGTCCCTGTCCTCTCCATGTCCCCTGCCCTCCCCATGTCCTGTGTCCTCCCCCTGTCCTATGTCACCATGTCCTCGTCCTCCCTGCGTCCCCGTCCTCCCTTGTCCTCCACCTGCCCTATGCCCCCCCGCCTCCCGTGCCCCCGTGTCCCTGTGTGCCCCTCTTCTCTACCTGGGAGGGCAGGTGCTGCAGCCTCACTCTGGAAGCACAGATGGCGCTGCCCACCTTGTGGCGTCCCGACACTGTCCGCAGCCTGGTGAGCCTGCGCTGCAGAGTCCAGGGGAGCTCGTCCTCAGGGGGGCCCTGGCAAAGGGGGGTCAGGGGCAGGTGGAGGAGGCTGGGGAGGAGAGGTGTGGGGGTTCCCAGCACTGACCTGTGGGGGGGCCGAGTGGCAGCGCCGCAGCCCGCCCAAGAGGGCCATCTGCTTCTCCAGGTGGTAGAGCCAGCGGCCCAGCTCTGCATGGCTGGGACACAGCACGAGCAGGGGTGCAGGCAGGGGGCCTGCAGGGAAGGCAGAGAGGGTGGGCACAGACCTCAGGCCCAGCCTGGAGGGAGCAGTGGCCACTGCATGGGCCTGAGTGTCCTCAGACTCCCACCTGCCCTCAGCTGGGCATACCATGTGACCACTGGAGGACAAGCTACCCCTCAGGTCCACTACTGTCACTGGGCCCTCACCTGTGATCTGGAAGGCGGGCTCTCTGGACCCCTCCAGCGGGCAGACACTCAGCTCCATCAGCGGCAGCAGGCCCTGCAGGGCACAGGGGATAGGGGCGGTCTGGGGCCCCAGCTGCCGGCATCTTCCCCTCCCCCCACCCCCATCTCCCCTCTGCCCTGTTCCCCACCTGGAAAGTGAGGCCTTCGTAACCCACGGCCTGGAAGTACAGGTGAGTGGGGAAGAGCTCCAGGTAGCAGTCACTGGCTTCCTGGGGGGAGCAGGGCACGTTGGTCGGGCTGAGGTCAAGGGCAAGTTCCCCAGCTGGTCCCTGCCTGGCTCTGCCCCCACCTGGCTGTGCTGGAACCGCAGCTGGACCTTGGCATAGTGTATGACCTTGCCCAGACTCCTCACGGGCACCCTCCGCCGACCCTTCTTGAAGACACTCAGGAATGGCTGTTCCAGATTTTCTTGCTGGTTCTGCAGCCCTGGGATGTCCTGAGGGGATTGACACTCAGGGTAGGGGCTTGGAGCAGGGTCCTCATGAGATCCACCCCACAACCACATGCAGGCTGAGAGCACACCATCCCGGTGACCAGAACCTGCACACTCTTGGTGCCATCCTGGAAAGCATGGCAGACGTAGGCGCGTGCACACCCACCCACAGTCTCCTGGAGACCCCGCCTCGACCTTCACTCTTCCTAAGCTGCCTGCCCTTATGGTGGTGCCTCAGCCTTCTGAGACTGCGGGGCCAGGAGGATGTCTGGGGCGAGTCTCAGAGTGTCCACATCTGGCACGTGGTTCTGTAGGAAACAGCTGGACCCAGCACTTGCTGCAGACGTGCCCACCCCAGCCTGTCGGAGTGCCAGCATGGCTGTTTGGGGTGTCTGAGGGTCACCAGGAAAGCTTTTGTCCACCTGCCCAGAACTCATCCTGCAACATGCTGGGGTCCTGTACCCTCCGCCAACAGCCATTTCTGGCACCCAGAGAGCCCTCCAGAAGCAGGCCCCATCTGTGGTTGTGAGGGGCAGTGATGGAAAGCTGAACTGGGAGGGGTCAGGCTCCTTCTCCAGGGGAGCTGGCAGAGGCCATCAGTAGAATGCTGTGCCCCCGCCAAGTGGAGCTGCCTCTCAGGCGAGCCCAGGAATGTGAGCAGACAGACTCGAGGCTTCTCCTGCCTCTGCCCCTGGGTGGGGCTTCTTTCACCCACACCCAGTGTGGGAAATGATGCCAAGACAGGACAGTGAAGTAGGCCACAGAACCCCTGGGTGCAGTCCGGGTGCAGGAGGTAGCCAGCACCACCTTGATCCCCCAGCCTAGTTCTAAAGACCAGTATATGGCACTGTCACCAAGCAGGCCAGGCAGGTCATTAGTTCCATAGGACCCACCAGGGTGTGGGCTGGACAGAAGGACTCAGGATCTGAGACGTGGCCCCATACATCTCGGGCCTGGACGGAGGTGCACTGACCACTTCCCAAGGAGCCATTTCTGAAAGTCCTTAGGATCAGGGCACAGTGAGGGGGGTCTCTAGGGGCTGGTGTGAAGGGGAGCGTTGGTTGTGAGGGGGTGGCTGGTTCCAGCCTTGGGAGCCTGCAGGAAGGTAGACCTTGAAGGACAGATGGTGTCTCTGTCCAGGTTCCAGATGTGTATGGTCACATCTCAGACCCCAATTGTGTAGAGGCCTGTTCCCAGACCCCGGCAGTCACAGATGTTCCTCTCCCAGTGGGTGCTGGGTAAGGAGCTGGGGGCCAGTTCAGTCAGGTCTTAGGGCTCCTCAGTGAGGGAATAGGCCAGGCCTCCCTGCCCCTAGCCCAGAGCTGACAGGAGCTGGGCGGGACAGCGAGCAGCTGGGAGCCATGTTCTTGCTGCTGTAGCCACGACTGTGGGACGGGGGCCCTGGAGTGAGGGAGCAGAGGTGCCAAGGAGACCCCTCCAAGAAACTGAGGCCCAGAGACGGTGAGAGGCTGGTCCGCCCTCCACCTGAAAATGCCGAGATCGCCGTACGGAGGGGCCAACTCCCAGGCCCGGGTGCCGGGGGCCTGTCTGCTCTGCTCCAGGCTCAGGCCCTCTGTGTGTCTACCCCCACCCCCCCCCGCCCTGCCCCCGCCCTGCCCTCGCAAGCCCTGACTCAGGCACCGGGCAGTTTCGCTCGCTCTGCCAGACTCTCGGCTGATGTGCTGGGGCGGGGCAGCCACTTCCTCACCTCGCTTTGGCCTGGGAGCCCCTGAGCTGAGTGAAGACCAGACACCCCAGCCGGCCCACCCTCTCGGGGGGCCCCCACTCAGCAGGGACCCGCTCACCGTCCCGGGGATGTAGTAGAAGATCTTGTCGGCTGTCGTGTCCCTGTCGGGGCTGGCCTCAGTGCCAAACAGGCCACCCAGCTTCCTGGCGCTGTCCTCCCTGGGGACAAGGGAAGGGGCTCGCAGCCTGACTCCTGCGGCAGGCCTGAGTCTGTGACCGAGGCCGAGCCGCCCCTGCGGCACCCCCGCCCCCCTCACCTGGTTCCCTTCAGGGAAGGCTTCCTGGAGAAGGAGGCCCGGAGCCTCCGAGGGGCCTGAGGGACGCATTGGCTGTTCCCCATGGCTGATGGTGCCGGCTGCCAGAGCAGGATGGTGTGCGCACCTCTCCTGCCGAGCAGACAGGGCGGGAGTGCCGGGGTGCTTCTGGGCGAGTAGGTGGAGCTGGGGCGGGACCGGTCTACCTGTCTCTGCCCTGCCGGCCACCCCCACTCGTCCCGGGACAGGCCTCAAGGCTGGTCTCAGCAACAGTCCCCCAAGTGAGTACACATCCTGTTTCCAATGGCAGCCTGCCTCTGAGTCACAGTGACTGCAAGGGGCCTCTCTGACCTCGGCTGCTGGAGAGGTCTAGAGCACTGCTGGCGGGAAGCCGGAATCCTTTTTCTCCACTTCCTGCCTCAGCCATCCTCACCCCAGCCAGGTCGGGTCCCCCAGGCTCAGCCAGAACCCAGGCCGCCGCCTTGCAGGTGTGTGATCGGGCTTAGCTTGCTGCACTCACTGATCCTTCACGTGGGGGGAACTGGCCGAGCCGATTCCAACCTGCACCTCCCGCGACCCTCCCAGGCCCCAGCAGGGGCCCCAAGGGTGGAGACGGATGCTCAGCCTCAGGTCCCCACAACCCAACAAACACATTTATTGTTCAAGTCGGTGCATATTGCTATGTGGGTCTGGGACACACATAGGTGCCCAGCTCGGCGCAGGACCCGGGAGAGGTGTGCCAGGGGTTAGAAGCTGCTTCACTGTTGACTCCGGGTGTGTGCCTGGCCAGGTAAGGTGAGGTGAGATGGGCGAAGCGCAGGCCGGGTTGCTCAGAAAGCCCCCACTCATGCCTGGCTGGCTACCCTACGTCTGCGAAGTGGCCCTCCAGATCTGCCAGTTTGAGGAGGGGCTGAGGCCCTGGCAATGCCAGTCTGGCAGCTGCGCAGGAGTCCCCTTGGTGCTGGACTCGGAGGGCAGCTTGGTTCCCAAGACACGGGACACCTCAGGAGGGACTGCAGGACGGGGCACTGCAGTGCTCCTCGGCATCCAGTGACGACACAGAATCACAGAGGAAATAAATAAAGGACACACAACACCAAGGAGTGGACGCAGAGACACGGACGGACGATGCAGAATGTCCCTGGGGGGGCGGGGGGGCGCTGCCCCGCAGGCTTAAGGCATGTGGGAGGCAGTGGGCCCGGCCTCCGAGGGTGCGCAGGGTCAGAGGCTGGTGGACGACACGGACAGTGTGGGTGAGGAGGGCGGCGGGAAGTTGAGCAGCTCCAGCACGGCCACGCCCACACTGCTGCGGCGAGTGAACATGCAGGAGGCGGCCACCCACTTATTGGTCCTGGGGTTGTACTTCTCGATGGAGTTGAGGCTGGAGCTGCCGTCGTTGCCGCCCACCGCGTACAGCCAGCCGTCCATGGCGACCAGGTCATGAGTACTCCTGAAAGCAACGGGATGACCAATCAGGGGCTGGGGCCTCTGGGGGAGATCAGGGGACCCCGCAGGGCAGTGGGTGAGTGGGACAATGGGCAGGAGGAGCTGGACGGTGAGGTGGGGGGAGTGGGCAGACCCTCAGGAGGGAGGCCTTGGGACACATGTACGTCTGGAGATGGGTCTGGAGTGGCCTCTGGGGGGGCAGTGGCAGGCACCTTCGGATGTTCATGGGCGCCACGCTCTCCCAGGAGCCCGCCTTGGGGCTGTATCTCTCCACAGAGTTCAGGCAGCTGGTGCCATCGTTGCCCCCGGCCACGTAGAGGACGCCCTCCAGTACGGCCACGCCTGCGGAGCTGCGCCGACTCAGCATGGAGGCCACAGGCGTCCACGCGTTCACCTGAGAGGGGTGAGGGACAGAGGGGGCGGACTCATGACCAGCTCCGTGCACCTCCACCCTGCAGACCCTGGCTCCTGGGCAGGTGCCTGTGTGTTGTGGGGGTGGGGGGGAACACGACCGCCCTCTGGGCTGGCCAAGAAGGGAGCGAGCTCCCGGGAGGGCTAAGTGTGTGCAGGTGTGTTTCGAACCTGGGGCTCGTACTTCTCCACGGTGGCCAGGTGTGACGAGCTGTCGTAACCGCCCACGGCGTACAGGGTCCCATCTGCAGGGAGTAACCCATGTACGTGCCCCGCTGTGGGTGGGGCTGGGGGGGCGGGCTGGGGGTGGGGCTGGGGGGGCGGGCTGGGGATGGGGCTGGGGGGTGGGCTGGGGGTGGGCACTACGAGAACGGCCTGTCACCCACCCAGTGTGGCCACGCGCACGTATCGCCTCCGGGTGCTCATGGCAGCAATGGACGTCCAGGTTCCCGTCAGGGGGTCATAACGCTCAGCACTGTGAACACCAGATGGCCACTGACCTAGAGCAGCGGCAGAAAGGCAGCCCTGGTACTGGGACTTGCCCTCCCGCTGGGGCAGACAGTCACACTCCAGAGCCGGACAGTCACAGACACTCAAATCTGGTCCCACCAGAGCAGGCAACAGACCACAGCTGACTGGCAGAACACGACCCCGGAGAGGAGGACAGGGAGCCGGAGTGGCTCAGATGAGAGAGAGGCCCGGGAGTCCTGAATCCAGTGAGACCTTCCTGTCACCCGCCCCCAGCTGGGTCACCCCAAAGGCCTGCCAATCCCAGCCCCAGCTGCTACCTGTTGAGGCAGGAGGCACCATCATAGCCACCGGCTGCATACAGGAGCCCGTGCAGGGCAGCTACGCCCAGGCAGCTGCGCCTCGTGCCCAGGGACACCTCGGGCTGCCAGGTGTTGCCCACGGGGTCATAGGACTCGACAGTCGCCAGGTCTGAAGTTCCGTCGTAACTGAGGAAGGGTCCGCTTCCGGTCAGGGAGGCTGGAGGGCACACGTGACCCCACCTGGGACCACCTCCAGGCTTACCCGCCCACTGCATAGAGCCGGTTTCCAACGGCGGCCACGCCCACCCGTGCCCGGCGAGTGGACATAGAGGCCACCACGTGCCAGCGATCAGTACGGGTGTCGTATGCTTCACAGTCCCCGTGGATGGCAAACAGGCTCCCCCCACCTGAGGAAGGGGAGGAGACACAACAGGAGACAGGGTTCAGGGAGGGAGGTGGTGGTGAGGGCAATGCTCTGCACAGCCTACGGTCAGGGGCCTGGTGGCTCTTGCAACAAGGACGGGGTAAGGGGGTGACCATACGAGGTCATCCATGGGTGCTAGTGAAAGAGGAGGGTGGGTGCAGGGAGTGAGGGGTGCAGGAATGAGGGGGGTGGGGTGGTGAGGGGTGAGGGGGACTGGAGTGGTGAGGAGTGAGGAGACTGGGTAGTGAGGGGTAAGGGGACTGGGTAGTGAGGGATGAGGGGTGAGGGGACTGGGAAGTGAGGGGTGAGGGGACTGAGGAGTGAGGGGTGAGGGGACTGGGAAGTGAGGGGTGAGGGGTGAGGCTACTGGGAGGTGAGGGGTGAGGGAACCAGGAGGTGAGGGGTGAGGGGACTGGGAGGTGAGGGGTGAGGGGACCGGGAGGTGAGGGGTGGGGGTGAGGGGACTGGGGGGTGAGGGGTGAAGGGATTGGGTAGTGAGGGGTGAGGGGTGAGGGGACTGGGAGGTGAGGGGTGAGGGGACTGGGTAGTGAGGGGTAAGGGGTAAAGGGATTGGGTAGTGAGGGGACTGGATCGTGAGGGGTGAGAGGACTGGGAGGTGAGGGGACTGGGTAGTGAGGGGTGAGGGGTGAGGGGACTCGGAGGTGAGGGGTGAGGGGACTGGGTAGTGAGGGGTGAGGGGTGAGGGGTAAAGGGATTGGGTAGTGAGGGGTGAGGGGTGAGGGGACTGGATCGTGAGGGGTGAGGGGACTGGGAGGTGAGGGGTGAGGGGACTGGATCTTGAGGGGTGAGAGGACTGGGAGGTGAGGGGTGAGGGGACTGGGTAGTGAGGGGTGAGGGGTAAAGGGATTGAGTAGTGAGGGGTGAGGGGACTGGGAGGTGAGAGGCGAGGGGACTGGATCGTGAGGGGTGAGAGGACCGGGAGGTGAGGGGTGAGGGGACCGGGAGGTGAGGGGTGAGGGGACTGGGGGGTGAGGGGTGAGGGGACTGGGTAGTGAGGGGTGAGGGGTGAAGGGATTAGGTAGTGAGGGGTGAGAGGTGAGGGGACTGGGAGGTGAGGAGTGAGGGGACCGGGAGGTAAGGGGTGAGGGGACTGGGAGGTGAGGGCTGAGGGGACTGGGGGGTGAGGGGTGAGGGGACTGGGTAGTGAGGGGTGAGGGGTGAAGGGATTAGGTAGTGAGGGGTTAGGGGTGAGGGGACCAGGAGGTGAGGGGTGAGGGGACTGTGGGGTGAGGGGACTGGGAGGTGAGGGGTGAGGGGACTGTGGGGTAAGGGGACTGGGAGGTGAGGGGTGAGGGGACTGGGGGGTGAGGGTTGAGGGACGTACCCACAGCGAAGAGCACGGGGCCGGCCCCCTCACAGCGCCGAGGCCGGGTGCGGCTAGTACCTAGCACACCTCTCTGCTCAGGCAGCAGGTGGAACTTGAGGGCCTCGATGAGCAGGTCCTTGCAGTCAGGGTGGTGTCGCACCAGGCTCTCTGCATCCACATGGCCAAGCAGGAAGTCCCGGCTGAGCAGGGGCAGGCGCACACACTTCATCAGCTGCGGCAGAACACACCGGTCACATGGTGGGCGGGGCCAAGGGCACACATAGCCCTCTGGCCGCCCCCCTGTGAACACCAACACGCTGGACTCCTCTTGAGGTATGTCCATGGCCAGGAGAGCAATCTGCGTGTGCCCAGTCCCTCGGCCACTGCACTGCCTCCCCAACCGTGGGGACCCAGGCCCTGCCTCACCCGGGGCACGTGCTGCCTCCGCGTGTCCACATCATGCTTGACCCAGCTCAGGACTGCACGGTAGACATCCTCCTCGGAAGGCACGTTCAGGCTGTCACTAGAGACCAGTTCCAGCACCTGGGGGTGGGGACCCTCAGACCTGAGATCTGGGGAAGGTTTGGGAGCTTTGGAACCCAGAAGGTGCCTGGGAGGGAGAGTCAAGGGGGACTCAGTGGGTCCTACGAGGGGCTGAGCAGACTCAGAGTCAGATGCCACCAGCAAGTTTCGGGGGGGGGGGCTCAGCCCAGAGCAGTGCTGAGGTGGGGAGCCAAAGATGGGAGCATGCAGGCTGGGCTGCCTCGGGGACAGAAGGTGGAGGGCTGGGTGATAGCAGGAGGCAGGAGGGCCAGGGATGGCGATGCAGACAGGGTAAGAGAAAGGGAGCGAAGGGGTGGGGAAGACATAAGACTTCAGGGCCAACACGGCTGGGGTGAGGCGAAGGCAGGGTCCAGCCTGTGCCCAGCACGGTTACCTGCTTCAGTGGCAACAGCATGAACTCCTCGGTCTTGGCCACGTCCACAAAGTGCTGCAGCACGTACCTGTGGGCCGCCTTGAGCAGGTCGCTGCATGCGTGCGTGTCAGCAAAGCCCCGGATGCCCAGGCAGTTGGCGGGGTCCAGCTGACTCAGCAGGAACTTGCAGCAGGCGTCACGGACACCATTCAGCTGCAAGAGGCTGGCTGCTGGGAGCAGGGTCTCCAGGGAGAAGAGAGGGGAATAGTGGGAGTGGGAGAGGGGAGAGGCATGGGACCTCACCCCCCTTGAGAGCGGCAGCATGGCAGAACTGGGGGGTCTGAGCCGCCTTTACCTGCACGTTGCCTTCCCCCACCACTATCTCCGCCGTGTAAGCGAACTGCACCAGCTGGTCCAAAGCCTGAGGGTCAATGTCGTGCAGAGTGACGTGAGTCTGCCGGCTCTCGCTCATCTCATCTGCGGGGAGAGGAGGTCAGGCTGGCCTCTGCCACGGGGGGGGGGGGGGGGGGGGGGGGGGGCTGGAAGGGGGGGGGGTCTGCAGCCCCAGCGTCCCCCGCCAGGATAGGGTGTACTTGCTTGTGAACATGGCGTGGAAGTACGGGCTGCAGGAGGCCAGCACCACCTTGTGCGCCCGGATCTCCTTGGCGGCCACGTGCAGGACGATGTCACAGAGGAGACCGCGCTGCCGCATGCGGCTCATGGCCACGAAGGCGTCATGGTAGTGTCGCTTGGAGTTGTGGGACACGGTGTGGCCCTCGCGGCTCAGCAGCTGCACCGGGCCCTCCATGGGGGCTGTGGGCCAGGCCTGCCGGGGACGGGGCCGCTCCGCCTCGGGGCTGCAGAGGGCCCGGACAGTGTCAGGGCCTGCAAGGGAGCCTCCCCTCCTGCCTTCACAACGGGACCACAGCCCCGGCCCACTGGCCCGCCTCTGCCCCTTCACTTGGAGGCCAGCCAACTCACTCCCTTTCCTGTGCACCCTACTCCCCTCTGCCCAGCTCTCATAATGACCAGGCCACAGGCATGCTGTGTCCATCCTGAGCTGCCCGGTGCCCTCCTAGCCCCATGTCCTCGACAGACATGGGCACACTAGGGCGCAGGGAAGGGAAGCAGGCAGCTCCGACAGCCACCAGCAGGCGTGACCTCACTCGACCCCGGGGATGCCCAGCGAGGGCCCCCACCCCACCCAGCGGAGGAGCCGCGGGCGGGACTCGGGCCCGGTCCGGCTCCGTCTGAGGCTCCGTCCGGCCCGGAGGTCCCGGTCCACTCACGCCGGCGGCGGCTGCTGCTGCTGCTGCTGCTGCGGCGGCGGCGGCGGCGCTTCGGGCCCGGGTCCCGGGCTGCCGCGCTCCGGGCTCTGCGTCCTGCCGGCCGGGCGCTCGCTGCGCGGCTGCATGGGCTCGGCCGCCGGGCCCGCCGCCCGCCCGCGAGCACGCACCAGCAGACGGGGCTCGGAGCACCGGAGGACTGCGCGGCGGCGGCGGCCCTCTCGCCCCCCACCCCCCCCCAAACTCGCTGCTGCCACCCGCGGGCGCGCCCGCAGCGGCTGTTTCTCGGCGCCGCCCGCCCCGCCCTGCCTGTCCGCGGAGGCCTCCTCCGTGAAGACCCCCGGGCCCCCCGCTGCTGAGCTCCCCGTGGCCGCCGGTCTCTCACTCGAGGGCCCTTTCCCTGGGCTGGCCAGTGAGGGCACGCCCGTGCCCTGCCGTCCCTGCTACGTCCCCCCCTCGCCCCCCCCCAGCCCCCGGGCCGCTCACTGCCCTAAAGCCCGAGGAGCACTGGACTGTGAGCGCTGACTCTGCGCCCCAGGCCTCCTCCGAGTCTGCCCCTGGGCAGCGGGGGGTTGGGCGAGACCCGGCTGGGCAGGCGTGTCCGACGGGGCAGACGGGCCTTCCGTCCACCCCGCGCGGGACGGGCTGGCCACCTGTGGACAGCACCGCGCGTGAGGAGGGCCGCCCTCCCGCCCCGTCCTGGTGGGGCTGGTATCCCCCCATGTCTGGGCCGACCCCGGCCGCACTCAGGGCTGCTCCGGGCGCTGTGCGCGCACACATCACTCCCGGAGGGGCTGGGGATCGAACCCGGGTCCACTGCGTGCAGGGCCAGCGCCCTCGCGGAGACCGCCCCCCCCCCCCCCCCCCCGGGCCGCAGTCTCGCACGTGCGGGCGTAGGGCGCGCCCAAGCCGGGAGGCGCGTCCTGCCAGTGTCCCGAAGGACACGGAGCTACGCGTGGGCCAGCGGGGTCCACTCCCAGCGGGCCTGCCCGGCGCCAGGCGGACGCGCGCGGGCGGGAGGACCCGCACGCCCAAGACGTCAGTGCCTGCCCTACCCTGCCCGCCCGCCCGCCCCGGGAGCCTCGGCGCGCGGGAGAACCACAGAAACAACCGCGCGCGCGGCCGGGGCGGGCCTGCGCGCCGGAAGTGCGGCGGCGCGCGGCTTGCTGGGACCGGAAGCGCGGCGCTCGGGGCGGCTGGCGGCGATGGCGGCGCGGAGCGGGCGGAGGTGAGTGGGCGGCCGGGTGCCGGCCGCGCGGGACCCCCCCCTCCACCCCTCCCCGGGCGGCCGGACGCGCTGACCACCACCCCCCCCACGTCGTGTCCCGCAGGAGGCGCCTGGCGGAGCTGACGGTGGACGAGTTCCTGACCTCGGGCTTCGACTCCGAGTCCGAGCCCGAGCCCGAGCCCGACGCGGCCCCCGGCGCGGAGTCGGCGCCACGCGGAGGCCCCCGGAGCCCGGAGACGCGCGGGGAGGCGCGGGGCGGCAGGTGCGGGGGTCGCGGGGTGGCAGGTGCGGGGTCCGCGGGGTGGCAGGTGCTGGGGGCGCCGTGCGGTGGGCGTCGGGAGCGGGGGAGGGGGAGGTAGAACTCGCCCCACCCTGCCGCCCGGGTACCACTGGGGCCGGAAGGGAACAGACCCGAGGGAGGCGCAGGTGGACCAGGGGGTCCGGAGACTGGCGGCTTGCTGCAAGGGGACGCACCTGAGATACCCCCTTGCTGGACGGTGGGGAGGCAGGTCGCGCCCCGTGTTTGTTCTACGGGGGACGGGGGTGGGGTCCGGCGTGGGGTTCGGGGAGCCTCACCCGGAGTTTCCGACCTGACACCGCAACAGCCGGCGCAGAGGCCGCGCCTCCGAGCACAAGGACCAGCTTTCTCGGCTGAAGGATAAAGACCCGGAGTTTTACAAGTTCCTGCAGGAGAACGACCGGAGCCTGCTGGACTTCAGTGACTCTGATGGCTCCGAGGAGGAAGAGGGCCAGCTCCATGCCCTGCCAGACACGCTGGAAGTGAGAACCTCCAGAGGACCCCCTCGCAGGGCGAGCTCCCCATCCCCCCCATGTGGCCTCTTGCCCCTGTTCCACGCCTGCCCTCTGTTTGGTCCAGGAAGCCAGCGAGGACGAGAGTGAAGATGGAGTCGCTGGGGACAGGAAGAAGAAGATGGGGGATGCTGTGCCCGTGACCCTTGCCATGGTGGACAGGTGGAAGCGGATGGCCAAGGTGAGGGGCTTGGTGAAACCTGCAGGGCCACACCCCCTTCCTCTGCAGGCAGGACATGGTGCTCCAGGCACTTGCTCTGTGCTGGGGCCTGGGACTGCTTTCTTCGGGCAGTGATTCTGGGACCCTGGGGAATCCTTTCTCCGTTTCTCTTTTGCTCACTCGGCTCCTCCCAGCTCCAGTTTGGTTTTTTTTTTTTCTTTTTGGGTCACACCCGGCGATGCACAGGGGTTACTCCTAGTTCTGCGCTCAGGAATTACCCCTGGTGGTTTTAGGGGACCATATGGGATGCTGGGACTTGAACCCTCATGCAAGGCAAACGCCCTACCCGCTGTGCTATTGCTCCAGTCCCCCCACAAGCTCCAGTTTGGGCGGGGGCTTTTCGGTCCTCCTTCCCCTGCCACTGCCCTGTCTGAGAGTGACCCGTGCTGGGCTGCTACTTGCTGTCCACACGCAGCTGACGGCCTTTCCCATGTTCTGGGTTCTCCACCCCTTAGCAGCACCTCACTCCACGGCTGCTGCACCAGATCCTGCAGGCATTTCGAGCTGCGGTGGCCACCACCCAAGGAGACCAGGAGAGTGCTGAGGCCAGCCGGTTCCAGGTCACTGACAGTGCTGGTGAGCCAGGGTTGGGGAACACAGAAATCAGGCTCCTCGTTCTGCCTTCTGTCTGTCAGTGACAACTGTGTCCCTCTCGTTCCAGTGTTCAACGCACTGATCACTTTCTGCGTCAGAGACCTCTTTGCCTGCCTTCAGAAGCTGTTGTTTGGGAAAGCCCCGGAGGAGGGCGGCAGGTAAGAGGGCCAGGGAGGAAGACCCGGGGCTAGGGATCCGTCTCGGGGGAGCAGGAGCACAGGCACTGGGGAACCCTGGGTCCATTCCCAGCACCTCTGGCTCTTGAGTACCCCCCGGGGTTGCCCCCAGGACCATGAGAATGAGCTTGAATAGGAGAATTCTGCACATCTCTAGGCTCAGATAGAAACGAGCAATGAGAAAAGCTGCTCTTAGCCTCTTGGCCAGATGGGGTGACCTGTGGGAACCCCTTTCTGGGTCCGGATCCAGCTGTTGGCTCCTGCACCCTCCGAAGGGAGGGAGGGAGGGAGGGAAGAAGGGAGGAGACGTCTCCTCCTCGGGCCCTCTGCCCTCCTGCCTTGGGCAGGACATGGGCTCAGCCTGCCTTCTGCTGACCCATGTCCAAGCCACAGGGCCGGTGGGGTCTCTGTAGGGTGCTGCCGCCGTCCAGTAGCCCGCTGTGGGGGAGGCTCCGGCTGGACATCAAGGCTTACCTGAGCTCCGTCCTGCAGGTACAATTCTGCTCTTAGTCTTTGGTCAGGTGGGAGCCCTGAGGAAGGGCGGGCGCGGTAAGGATGGAGCTGCCACCTCCCTTTCCCACGGTTGGGTGGGGGCCTGGCCTCCCCGGCTTCACTGGTTTGGGCCTCCCTGTTCTCTCTGCTTTCGCAGCTGGTGACTTGCGTGACCGAGACCACTGTAGCAGCAGCCATTCTTCGGCATGTCAGCCACTTGGTGCCTTACTTCCTGACCTTCCCCAAGCAGTGCCGCGTGCTGCTCAAGGTGGGCAGCCCAGCTCTGGCCTGTCCAGTGAGAGGCTGTGGCCGCAGCTTTCTCAGTTCGGGCTTGTTTGGAGACAGACCTGGTGGGGGTTGGGGGCTACTCTTGGCTGGGTCCTGGGGAGTCGCTCTGGCAATGTTTTGCGGGGGGGGACCAGGCGGGACCCCCACATACAGAGCTTGTGTTCCTGACCTTGGGCCTTCTCCCCTAAGGCCTCTTTTCTGTCTGGTTTCTAGTTTCAGGTAGTCTGGGCAGTCATGGTCTGGGCTGGGTGCTCATGATGTGACCTGAGTCCCGGCCCTCCAAAGTTCCTGGGTGGGGGGGGTGGTGCTGGCTGGGGTGGTGCTGGCCCAGCTCTGACCCTCGGCTTCTACAGAGGATGGTGGTCTTGTGGAGCACGGGGGAGGAGACGCTGAGAGTGCTGGCCTTCCTGGTGCTCCTCCGAGTCTGCCGGCACAAAGGCACCTTCCTGAGCCCCGTTCTCAAGGTATGCAAGGCTGCTCTGGGCAGACCTGGGCATCGTGTGGGACAGAGCGCTCCATGAATGGCTCCTTGGGACACCTGCTGCCCAGCCCCACTGTCCCCAATCTGAGTCCTGGCCTCCCTCCCCCACAACAGCTGTCCGGGTCAGGTAGACCCACCTGTGGGGGAATCAGGGTGTGAGGTCCTGTAGCAGGCATGGCTGATGTGTGGCCTTGGTGCGGGGTGGGAGGGCCCCTCTGAGGAAAAGGCCTGGGCATGGGTGTGGCCAGTAGCCGATACAAATGGCTTTGGATCTCAGCAGTTTGTCTGGGTTCTTCTCATAGCAAATGTACATCACCTACGTGCGGAACTGCAAGTTTACTTCCCCTAGTGCCCTCCCGCTCATCAACTTCATGCAGCGCACGCTGACTGAGATGCTTGCCCTGGACCCTGGCTCGGCCTACCAGCACGCCTTCCTCTACATCCGCCAGCTGGCCATCCACCTGCGCAATGCCATGACCACGCGCAAGAAGGTGGGCTCCACGTTCGGTGCAGGCCCGCCCCACCTTGGATGGAGCTGGGGTCCTCGGTGGGAGGGGCGTTTGGGTACCTCTGCATCTGACTCCTACTGCAGTCAGGGGTCCCTGAGGGTGGGGTGGAGGGGGTGTGTAGTGCAGCTGCAGAGGGGGTTTGTGCGGAGGGACTGAGGCCCTGGGCTCACCTCCGTGGGGCTTTGTCCTCCCCAGGAGACGTACCAGTCTGTGTACAATTGGCAGTTTGTACACTGCCTGTACTTGTGGTGTCGTGTGCTCAGCACCATCCGCCCCAGTGAGGCTCTCCAGCCACTGATCTACCCCCTTTCCCAGGTCATCATCGGCTGCATCAAGTGAGTCTGGGATGGAAAGGTGGGCAGGGCAGGGGCAGGTGTTATCCACTCAGCGGGGATGGAATGTCTCTGGGAGGGCCACATCACAGTTGCCACAGTTGGCCAGGAGGGGGCAGCCATAACCTACAAGTGCTTAGCCTCTTAGGTTCTCTTAGGTTCTCCTCTTCCACTGAAGTGAAATTGTGAAAAGTTGTGGCTGTGACCCATTGTTCTCCAGCAGAGTGGGAAGCAGGTTCTTAAAGCTGGAACCCAGTGCAGGAGGCGGTGGGGGGGCGGGGCGGGGGGAGGGCAGCCACTACAGTCAGAACCCAGGGACACTCTACCTGGAGCTTGCAGTGGCTTGTGGTTTACTGAGGCTTGCCCTTGCCCCCTCTGCCCACAGGCTGGTCCCCACGGCTCGTTTCTACCCGCTGCGTATGCACTGTGTGCGGGCCCTGACCCTGCTCTCGGAGAGCACCGGCACCTTCATCCCTGTGCTGCCTTTCCTCCTCGAGGTGAGAGGCCCCAGCAGGCACGCCACCCTCACCCCGGGGGCCCTGGCCCTCCTTGCTGCTGCCCAGTCTGGCAGGACGGATGAGGACAGTGGCAGGTGCCGGGTTCAGGCGGGTTTGTGTAGTTCTCAGCAATTGCCTGAGGTGCGCCCAGCAGAGCTGGGCCAGAAGCCCAAGTCAGGTCTTATCCCAAAGCTGCACCTTGTCTCCCTAGCCCCTAGCACAGGTGTTGCCCCTGTATGGCAGGGAGGGCTGCTCTGGTCCAGGCTGGCTCGTCCCAAGCCAGCGGCTGTCCAGGTGTCCCATCCTCCACCAGAGGCCCCAGTGCCACCCACGAGGTGGTCAAGAGCTGTCTCAGTGAAACTCTTGGCCCCACTGAGCACGAGGAGGCAGGGACCCTGGGGCCTTGAGCACGCTGAGGAAGGCTTCTTGGGAACGCTGTCTTGTTTGGGGGTGCTTAGCTCCCAGGAGTGCCCACTTTTCTCTCCAGAAGTGACTGGGGGGCAACACTGCTGGACAGAGGCCCTCCAGTCCCTGAGCAGGACAAAGGAGGTACCTCATTGCTGGCTATTCTAACTTCTCAGCATCCCTGCCCCAGCTCACCCACATGCAGGTATGGAGGAGGCCAGGACCTACTCTTGCAGCCTCTCACCTCTACACAGCACAGGAGGGTCACTGTCCTCTCTTGAGAACGTGGGAGGGTCACGTTCCAGCCTGTTCTTTATGAACAACACAGCAGGGTCAACTGCAGCCTGTCCTTCAGAATGCAACAGGGGCTTTGTCTGAGACCCTCTGTCCCTTCCTGATGGCTCCTGAGGCCAGACCCAGGGGGCTGATCTGTGGCCTGTCGGAAGCAGCTCTGTCTGCTCACAGAATCCTCCTGATCCTGAGTGGTGGGGGTGGGTGGGAGCGGCACACGGCTGACCAGACCTTGGACAGGTTTTCCAGCAGGTTGACTTCAATCGGCGGCCCGGGCGCATGAGCTCCAGACCCATCAACTTTGCTGTGGTCCTGAAGCTGTCCAAAGTCAACCTTCAGGAGAAGGCATACCGGGTATGAAGGACTCCAGGGCAGACACAGGCAGAGCTGGGGGTCACACCCTCCAGGCCTCTGCTAGACCACTGAGCGTCATGTTGGGTGTCAGGGCCTGTTCTCCTGCTCTGCGCCCTGACATGCTTTCACCGCCCACCTCAGGATGGCCTCGTGGAGCAGCTGTATGACCTTACCCTGGAATATTTGCATAGCCAAGCCCACAGCATTGCCTTCCCCGAGCTGGCGCTGCCAGCTATTCTGCAGGTATGTGCTCTGTCCTTCTCTATGTCTGCTGGCAGCTGGGTCCCGGGACCGAGGCATAGGAGCTGCCTGGGTGACTCCCCCAGGATCCAGGGACTTCCAGCTCCTCCCCACGCCAGCCCCAAGGCCTTTCCTGGGGACAGCAGCCACTGAGCAGCCTGGGTCTACCCATAAGCTGAGAGTCGGGCCACACCTGGTTGTGGACATAGCTGCTCCCAGCTCTGTCCTTGGGCGACTGGTGGCAGGGATTGTGCCCGGGCTGTCGCTTAGTCCTTGGGCTCTCTAGCTGGCGGGTGGAGTGATTCTCCTAGTAAGGTGCTGCTGGTGACCTGGTAAAGGCTGGCATGGGGAAGGGACCTTCCTTCTCTCCTGATACTGCAAACCAGCGTCTGCCCTTCTTGGCAGTGCCGGGGCTGATCTGCCTCCTCTCTGAAGCCACTTCTGGGTCCTCTGTTGAGGTGTTCAGAAGTGCCCCCTGTCAGAGATGCCTGTGCCTCCCACAGGCAGAGCCAGGACACTGCTGCCCCCTGTCGGTGGACTCAGCCCTGCTAGAGGGGCCTGGGTGGGGGCCAGACTCAGGCGGTGCCATTGACGCACATGGCACACCAGGTTCCAGTTTGGGGCGAGAGGGTCTAGGCATTGTCTCGAGCCAGGGAGCAGCAAGAATTTGTTGTAAAGAGGCAGCTGGAGGATCTTTGATTTTGGTTTCGGGGGTAACTGTTCATTCTAGAGTCACTTTTGGTGGGCTTGGGGAACTGTGTGGGATGCCGGGGATCTAAGTCTGGTCAGCTGCATGCAAGGCAGGCGCCTTCCCAATGTGCTATTTCCTAGCTCCCGAATCTTTGGGCCTTGCAGCCACGTGGTTTCTTAGACCTTGAGAGGACACAGTTGTTCCTAAAGGACAGCGCAGGTGCATGGAGAGAGGAGAGGGCTGTGCCAGTGAAGCACTGTGCTGGGTTTTCTCCGTGCCTAGCCCAGCCACATCCTGCTGTTTCCCTGTAGGTCCCCAAGGGCTAGACACGCACGCACTGAACCCCCTACCTCACCCACCCGATGTGTGGCTTCCAGCACCAGGGCTGCCCGTGCCCGGAACTGAGCCCCCTTTCTTTGCAGTTCAAGTCTTTCCTCCGGGAGTGCAAGGTCGCCAACTACTGCCGGCAGGTGCGCCAGCTGCTGGAGAAGGTGCAGGAGAATGCAGAGTACATTGGTAGCCGCCGCCAGCAGGCGTCTTTTGCTGTGTCTGCCCGGCCCGCAGTGGTCAGTTGGCTTCTGGATGGACTGGGTGGCAGCACTGGCTGAAGCTTCACTCCAGTCACTCCCCAGGGTGGCTGGAGTGTGGTGGGGTGTGACACATCCCCTCCCCCATAGGATGCCTGGGAAAAGCAGACGCGGGAGGCAGGCACACCGCTCACCAAGTATTACAGCCAGTGGCGGAAACTGAGGGACCGAGAGATCCAGCTTGAGATCAGCGGCAAAGAACGGGTACAGAGGGGGTGGGGCTGGGCCATGGAAGGACCTGGTGGGGGTGGGTGGGACCTGAACCTGTGCCCATGGCCCAGGGTGGCAGGGCTGCTCCAGAGCTTAGGGACTGAACAGGCAGGAGGATCACCCAGCTATGGGCCTCTGAGGCACTAGGGCTGGGTGATAGAGGCCACTGCCCTCCTCCAGCCCGGTCGGGCAGGTATGAGTGCTGACACTTGCCCTGTCTCGTGCTGGTAACTGGGGGCCCAGGGGAAAGACTGCAGGCGGCTTTGCATCAGTGGCTGTGGCTCTGAAGGTGCCTTGTGGCCAGCGTGTGAAGCCGGCCTGGCTCCTGCTGAGAACTTGGCTGGGAATGGACCACGCAGGGCAGGGGCGAGGGTGAGGGCATTCTGCCACCTGCTCCCCGACTCAGCCACCTCGGTTCCTGGTCCTTCTAGCTGGAAGACTTGAACTTCCCAGAGATAAAACGGCGGAAGCTGGAGGACAGGAAGAACGAGGACAGGGTGGAATTCAAGGACCTTTTTGACCTGGACAGTGATGAAGAGAGTACTGCAGATGCCACAGAGAGAGGTGGGGTCTGCGTGTCAGCATCTGATCTGACGGGGCAGGTGGGCCTGAAAGGGCTCTCTAGCTGCCTGTGCCCAGCCCTTTGGCCGCTGGACTTCGTTTGTGGTGGTGGGGGGGGGGGGTCTCCTGGAAGTGGGGCTGCGGTGCTCTGAGCCTGCTACCCGCCTTTGCTGGTCGTTGAAGTGCTTCTGCTCTGCTTCCCAGAGTCACCTGGGTGCCTGAGAACTCGGCAGAGGAAGGAAGAGGAGGGCAGTAGCAGTGACGAGGTGGCAGGCAGTAGCAGTGACGAGGCGGCAGGCAGTGGCTCAGAGGGTGAGTGTCCTGGGAGTTGCTGGGCAGGTGGCCTGGTTTGTTGGGGGGGACGGGATGCCTTGGGGCAGAGCCTGCTCTGCTCTCCAGGGATGCCAGGCCAGCTGCTGCATCCCCTGCAGCAGCAGCAATTCCGATAAATTAATTAGTGCTGTGATTAATTAGTGATGAATAACCTCAAGGCTGGCTTCTTCCTGATAACACACGATTTATGGAGGATCATCTCCCTGCAGATGGAAACCCAGACGTGGAGGCGGGGCTGCTGCCTGGGGAACTGTGGAGTCTGGCTCAGGGGCCAGATGACGAACTGCAGGACCTGCAGCTGTCGGAGGAGGAGGACTGAAGCGGTGTGGTGCCATCAGCCATTGCTGCGCTCCTGCACGTGCTGCGCCTGTGGGGCTGCAGCTCACTGAGCAGCCATGGCCCTGAGGCCCGTGTCAGACCATCTTGGGGGGAGGCCAGTAGATGCACAAGATTTTTTTAATACTTTTTTACCATATGAAAAGACCAGCAAGTATCGAGCACTGTGCTGATATCTGGAGTGGTGGCTGTGAGGACGGGAGTGGGCACTGACCCATGCAGGTGGGCCAGAAACCCCACCCCACCCCTGCAGAGGCCTCTCCGACACCTTGCCCCAGTTCAGGGTGCTTTTGGCGTCCACAAGAGCAGTTCCCAGTTAAGAAGTCCAGAGACATCACTGACCCTTCTTCATCTTTGGTTTGTCTGTACTGCCCCTGACCATCTGCACAGGTCACCTTCTTGAGTCTTTGCTCTTGAGTGACGTGTCCCACCTGTGTCGGGCGCTGTGAGGGGCTGGGGTGAAGGCAGGGTATCCCACCTGTGGCCTCAGCACAGAGGCTGGGAGGGGTCAGCAGGCCCCGGCAGTAGAGCCAGGGTCCCATTTCCTTGTTTGGGTGAGGCTTGGCCTGCAGGCGTGTGCCCTGTTCCATAGGGCGAAGTGGCCACTGCTGGGGACAAGGGCTGTTCCCCAGAGGCGAGGCCCCGCTCAGGAGCATGGAGCGAGGGTGGCTGCAGCGGCAGAGCCACGGGGAAGCTGGCCATGTAAAAGATGCGTCCCAGACGCTTGGCCACCTGCAGAGATGCGGGCCCAGATGCAGAGCCTGCCAGGGGTGAGTGGGCAGCCCCCAGCCCCACACCCCAACTGGCGCTTACCTGGGCCCGGATCTTGAGTGCAGGCCCCAGCTTGAGCCCCATGGTGGTCAGGAGGTGTTCCTCTGTCAGCAGGGGCAGTGCCTGCCCGTCGATTCCCTGTTCTCTGAAGACCTAGGGGTAATGCCAGGACTGTCTGACAAACGAGATTGCTGGACCAAAAAATCTTGGGCCAGTAGACGATGAGGCTTGTGTGCATGAAGCCCAAATTTCTATCCCCATGCACCAAAAAAGGGAAAGCTTTCTTGGGGGTGGGAGGCACTCCCGGCAGACTTGGGGGACCACCTAGGTTGGCCTGGGTCAGCCACATTGCTGTCCTGTCATTCAGACCCCACTACGGGAGAGCTTGGTCCAGAGAGATTGCTTTGAGGGCACTGCAGAGCGGGTGCCTGGACATGAGCCCCTGGTGACCCAGTAGTATCTGTTGGGCATCTGCCAGTGGGGAAGGCAGAAGCCACAGGCATCAGGAACATGCACACTGCACCATGACCAGTATGGGGGAGAGGTGGGCGGGTCCCCATCTCACCGGCGCATATTCTCCACAGCCAGACAAGCCCCCCACGAAACTGCAAACATCATCTACTGTCCACTTGCTGACGTCCTCGGGGCCGGTGGCTGACTCTCCGTCCATCAAGAGCCCCCCCATTGCACCTGCTGGGAGGGGGGTGTTACTGGGGTTCAGCTCTGCTGGCCATTCCGTAAGTGCCCATCACCAAAGGAGGGGTTCTTTCCACGGACACTGGGGGTGGGGGGTGCCCACCTGTGTGTAAATACGGGCTGACCGCGTAGGGGAAGCCCAGGGGCAGTGGTGGAGGCAGCAAGGGTCCTGAGAGAAGCCCCTTCCCCTCGGAGCTGGCCCCTCCTCCGCTTGGGGCCCGGCCCCCCGCAGCCACCGACTCCTCTGGTTCCTGATCCTCCCCATCTGAGTCCTTAGGGGGCTCCTCTTCAGGGCCTTCTGGCGTCCAGGGCCCCACCTCTGCCTTCTCCTTGGGCTCGCCAGGCCGGGCCGAGGCTGGGGTGGAGATGCCCTTGCGAGGGGCCCTGCGGGCAGGCTCGCGGGGCGGGGTGGGGGAGCCCTGGGGGGGCAGGGCCAGGAGCGGCGCCGAGCTGTGCCTCAGCACCAGCATGGCCCCGCGCCGCGGCAGGTCCTCGGGGCCATCGGGCGGGCACGGCGCGGCCTCGGGTGCGGGCGGCGGCGGGCGCTGGGCGCTCTCCAGTCCCTTGTGGCGCAGCATCTCCGCGGACAGCTCCAGCCTGCACCCGGGGAGCGGGCGGGGTGAGCGGCGGGGCCGGGCCGCGCCCCTGGCCCGCGGCTCCCACCCCTAGCACCTACCGCGCCAGGTTCTGCTTCCGCAGGAGCTCCTGCTGGCGGGCCAGCGCGTCGGCCGGCGCGGGCGGCAGGAAGCTGAAGCCTGCGGGGACACGCAGCAGGTGGCCGGGCGGCCCCGCGGGCGCGCGCCGCCGCGGGGGCGGGACGGGCGGGACGGGCGGAGCGCCCGGGCCGGCCCGTTACTTACCGGGGCTCTGGCAGAGCGCCGAGGGCACCCCCAGGAAGGGGGGCCTGAGGTGGGGGCCCAGGGCCACGTGCGGGGCATTCTGCGGCGGCGGCGGCAGCAGCGGGGGCGGCTGCGACAGCTCCCTGCGGGCGGCGCGAGTGAGCGGAGCGCGCGGCCCGCCCCGCCGCCCCCGCTAATTGCCGGCCCCGGGTCGCGCGCCCCCGCCCCGCCCCCGCCGGCGGCGCCAATTAATCTCGGCGGCGGCGCGGAGGCGGCAATTACCGCGGGGCGCCCGCCGCCCCCAGCCGCCCGCGCGGCTGTAATTAGCCGCAGTCCCGGCGGCGGCGGCGGCAGCTGCGGCGGGGACAGGGGCCGCCCCCCGCGTGTCCGACCGACCCCGGCGCGGGTACCTTTCGGGGAAGGCGGGGCCCAGGGCGGGCGCGCCGCTCTCCCGGAGCGGGCCCAGGCCCGGCTTGCGGCGCTGGCCGCCCGCCGAGGGCAGGTGCACGTCCAGGCCGCCGGGGCTCCTCGCCGCTGTGGCCGCCGCCTCCTGCCGGACCCTCAGGAGATCTGGGCGGGGAGGGGGACGGGTGACAGCGCTTACTCCGGGTCCGGAGCTGCAGGGCACCGACGGGGGCGCGCCGGACCCGGGGCCGGCGGGGGAGCAGGCGGCAGGGTCTGGGGCGGGGGGTGGGCGCCGGTCGGGGTGAGAGGCAAGGGGCAGCCCGCGGTGGGGGTGCGGGGCGGCAGCGGCCCCGCGCCCAGGTGACCCCGGGGAGGGGACGGCGGGGCGTGGGGCGGGCGGGCGGGCAGGCTGCCAGCGCGCGGCTCGCCACCCGGCTCGGCGGCCTGCGGGCTCCGCGCCCCTCCCGAGCCCCCCACTTGCGCTGGCTCCGCCACCGCCGCCTGTTTATAAATTAATTACCCGAAAAGCGGAGGTGGGTCCTGCCCCGGGCCGGGTGCCAGCCCGCAGAGCCCAGCCGGCGCGGCCGCCTGCGTCGATCCCAGCGGGGCCCCCGCGCCCCCGCGCGCCCCGCGGCCGCGGTTATTTACAGCCGGCTCCGCGGCGGGGGCGGCGGCGCGGGGGCCGTGATTGACAGCCCGCTCCCGGCGCGGCTCCCCAGCGGCCCGCGCCCCCGCCCCCGCGCGGGCCAGCGCCGCCGGCCCCAGGCAGGGCAGGGAAAGCAATTAAAAAGGAAGATTTTTAAATTATTAACATTTGGTGAATTATTCAGGCTCTCGGTGCCTGAGCTGCCCTGGGGGACAGTGCCTGTGTGGGGAGAGGAAATCCTGCCCCCTTTCCCAGCACCCCTCCCCCACCCACAGCCCCGCGCAGGCTCTTGGGGTGAAGGTGAGGGGGGGTCCCTTAGAGGGTGGCTGGGATAGACAGGTGGGCCGGCTAGCCACAGTGTGCGGAGCCCGGTGGGATGCCGCTGCCCAGCCTGCCTTCAGCACATCTCCTGGCCTGGCCTGCTGGCTGATGGCCCAGTCATTCAGCTGGAGTGGACACCTCAACCTGCAGACCAGGGGATGGGGCACAGGCCCGTGAACAGCCCCAGCTGCTGTAGGGACCAGTGGGACCGTCTCTTTGGGTCTCCAGTGCCCACAGGGGCCAGCAAGGAGGGGGAACTGCCAGGAATCTCTGTGAGCTGGAGGGTGTGGGGGTGGCAGGGACCTGGTCCTGGAGGACAGCAGCAGAAAAGATGACCCTTCCATCTGCCCACATAAGCAGATGCCTGGGAGGGAGGCGAGGGCATGCCTCACTGCCCAGGCACAAGGGGGCAGGCCCCCACACGCATTCCCAGCCTCACCAGGGAAGGGAGCATTGGCGGGGACCCTACCGTGACTGGGGGTGCCCAGATGGTAGAGCCGTTGGTCCTCCAAGGGTCCTGCCTCACTCAGGGCAGACATGAGCCGGCGGTAGTGCTCCTCGGGGGCCATGCCAGGGCCTAGTTCTGGCAGCAGCAGAGTCTCTGCATTGTGGGGGCATGACGGCTTCTTCAGAAAGAGACGGGCACCCCTCCCTCACCAGTGGCCTGATCCCAACCCCCTGTCAGGTTCCCACCTTGGGGGGACTCGCTTCGGGCCTTCTTCTCCAAAGGGCAGCCACTGCTGGCGGGGGAGCGGGCCAGCCTCTTGCCCAGCAGGTCACCTGTGAGAGGGCAGAGGTCTGGGAGGGCAAGGGCGACCACTCTGGACAGCCCCCCTCCCATGCCCCTACACTCAACCAGAACCAGCTCCATTGCACAGGGTGGGTGGGGGGATGTTCTGGTGGGCACCCACCGTTTCCTGAGCCCTTCTCAGGGTGTCCAAGTGCCCTGCTGTGCCCATCCTGCCCCTCTTCAACCTATAGGGCTCACATCCAACCAGAACCACTTTCTCTCCCAGCACAGGACTGGGGCCTGTGCTAGGAACCCAATGCTCCCCCTCAGGAAGGGCTGCATGTGACAGACCCTGCCATGGGGCCAGGCACACCTGTCACATTCACCCTCTGCCAGTCTACACATCTCACTGTCCCCAGGAGACCTGAGTCAGTCCCTTGGCGTAGCTGCCCTCCCGGCCAGGCTTCAGTTCCCAAGAGCTGCACCAGCACCGTAGCATCATGTCGCCCAGTGCACAGCCTAGCCACAGCCACGTTCTCTCACAGTCCTTTCTCATACTCTACATCTGCCCAGTTGGCTGTCCTCAGGACCCGGCCCCTCCCGGGTGCCCCAAATCCAGCCTCCTCTTGAGCCAAGAGCTAGTGGCTGCCATTCTGCAGGTCCACCCACTTGCAGGACTGGAGCTCGGCCCCAGGCCTAGGGCCCTTCCAACCTCACAGGGCCACCTGGGCGTGAGGCTGTGTTCCCTCTGACCTCGGCCTGCCCCAACGGGGCAGTGAGGTACTCCCCAGAAGGCCTGCCATCAGCCCAGAGCCTAATTCCTTTTCTTATTCCTTTAATCTGTCATTTTTATCAGGCCAGGGAAGTGCTGCCGGCAGCAGGAGCGCCGATCAATCTCCACTTTACAGCTGACAGAATGGTGCTAATAACTTATTGATCCCAGCCACCTCACTGCCACTGGCCCCGGCAGGCCCTGCCCTGAGAACGATGAGGTCCCCCTGCCCTGAAGAAAGGGTCCTGCCTCAGTGACCTGGCAGGAAGGGGGCCACACCCAGCTGGAGTCCCCTAATCCAACCACAGTGGGTGCCCAGCAGCCTGGGCTTTCAGGGCTCTGTGGACACCTTGTTGGGCCAGGCCTGGAGGCACTCTGGGCAAGGCTCACATTTGTGCCCAGGCTCCAATCTGTATGTGTGTGCACACACACATGCATACAAGAAAACCCACATACACGCACCTACAAAAAGCATGCCCCCACATGCGCACACACACACACATATGTGCGTTCACAGGCATGCGCACATGCATTCACATAAGCACACATGTATATGTTACCCACATAAGCACACAAACATATGTGCACTCACCCATGCATGCATACACACAGAAGCACACAGACACAGAAGCACATAGGCATATGTACACTCACACATACACACAAACCTTTAGAACCCTTCTGCCCAGAGCTTGCTCTCATTTTTCACATGGAGATCCCCCCCTCATTCTAGGGGAGGTGCCCCTCGGGGTGGAAGAAGGTCCCAGAGTCAGCCTGAGCAAGTTACTGCTGTGGAGGTCTGGGGGTTCCCTTGTCACTAATAGGGGCCTCCCCAATGGGCGAGTCAGAAAAGGCTTCCAGAAGCTGACAAGTCACAGATGTTGCCCTCCTGGTGCCCCCCACAGCCCAGGGAGGGGCTCTGAGACTGACAGCTTCTGGAGAAGCAAAAGGAGGGGACCACAGGCGCACATGGGAGTTGATGGGGGCTCTGGTCTGGGAGGGCGAAAGTGCGGCCAGTCCTGACAACCCCACAACATTGAGCAGTACCCAGAGCCCTCCTGCCCCTCACAGCACAGAGTAAGGACCCCAGACCGTTCACCAGAGAGAACAGGACACACGTGTCTGCACATGTGTGCCGTGAGGAGGCCTCCGTGTGCAGTGAGGAGGGGAGAGCCTGCTTGCTCAGACAGAATATCTCAATCACCGTGGACTCCCACAGCTCTGCCGATCGATGGGGCAATTAGATTTTATCAGCCGCCTGCTCAGCCACCACCTCCACACTGCCCCCCCCTTGCCCCCCCCCCCCCGCCCCTGCCTGTCCAGGTACGAGCAGGCCCAGGGGCATTAACTGGGGGGTCCCAGGGTCTTTGCGGGAGGTAAGGTGGAATCCCTGCGGGAGGCCCTGCAGATCTGCCCAGAGCTCCAGGGCAGGCAGCATGGAATGTGCTGAACCCGGAGGGGATGTGGAGGGGACTGCTACATCGATGTCTGTGAGGAGAGGACTACAGCGGTCCTGGCTGCTCCAAGCCCACCCCTGCAGCAGCCACGCTGGAGCCACTGCCTCCGCCTCCTGTCTGCCTGGCCGGCCAGGATTAACACAATTACCATCACATGCAGCCCCAGGGGACAGCCGGCCCGCCACCTCCTCCACTGGCCTCCCTGGCTGCCCGCCAAGGAGGCTGGCAATGGCAGCCTCCAGAGTGGCTGCACACAGACCCAGAGGGCAGCAGGGCAGGCGTCCTCACCTGGCCTGGCACCCACGTCGTCTCTCACCTGATGCTCCAAGGCTGATCTCCACACCGCTTCTCTGGAATTCACAGCGACTCTGGTGCTCAGGCATAACGAGGCGGCTGCGGTGCAGGCTGGAGATGAGGGTGGGAAGGTGGCTGTCCTGGCTGCAGGGAAGAGACAGGGAAGGCGCCTAAGGGCAGTGTCCGGGACACCTTCCGTGCACTCTGCAGGAGGCCCTGGGGAGCAGTCTGTGACCATCCCTGGGCCGTGCAGGTGAAGCCCTCCTGGCTATGAAGGTCTTGGCAGGCCCCACCCAGGAGCAGTCGGCTAGTTTCAAGGCCTTAACTCTCAGACTCCCTGAGCCTCAAGGAGGGTGTATGCACAGCACAGGGCCCTGACTCAGACTTGCACCTCAAGAGGACACAAACTATCCACCGGGCACTTACCCCTCACCCAGTACTCTCTGTCAGCCTTTCAGGAAGAATTTCTTTCTTAGTATTTCAACTAACCTTGCCACTTTCATGGACCCCTAATTTCTTCAAATAGGGAACCTAGACTGAGTGCAAAGTCCCATAGTAAGAGAGATGCACACAAAGAGGCTCACACGTAGTCACACACCACCTGCACACGCACACACACACACACACATAGGCACACGCCACTTGCACATACACACGGACACACACACAGTCATACGCCACCTGCACACACAGGCACACACCATCTGCACATAGGCACATGCCACCTGCACACAGGCACACACCATCTGCATACACACAGGCACATACCACCTGCACACACACACAAGGCACACACCACCTGCACGCACACGCACAAATAGGCACACGCCACCTGCGCACACACACAGGCACATGCCACCTGCACACACACATGGGCACACACACACAGGCACATACCACCTGTACACACACACCACCTGCACACACAAGTACACGCCATCTACACACACAGGCACATGCCATCTACACATACACTCGGGCACACACACATAGGCACACGCCACCTGCACATATACATGGGTACACACGCATACACAGGCACATGCCACCTGCACATACACACAGATTGATACATGCCACCTTCACACACACAGAGGCATACAGGCACATGCCACATGCACACACACACAGGCACACGCCACCTGCACACTCACAGGCACACACCACCTGCACACACACAGGCACATGCCACCTGCACACACATAAGGCACACACCTCCTGAAAACACACAGACACATGCCACCTGCACACACACATGGATACATGCCATCTTTACACACACAGAGGCATACAGGCACATGCCATCTGCACACACTCACAGGTACATAGGCACATACCACAGGCACACACACACAAACACACAGGACACAGCCAAACACCACCTGCACACACAAAAACACATGGACACAGATACACACCATTTACATACACAAAGACATACAGGCTCACTCCACCTGCACATACACATGTACATCATGTACATAGGCTCATATTACCTACACACACACACACACACACTGGCACACAGATACACACCACTTACACACAGATACATGGGTACACACTACCTGCATACACACATGGGACACACAGGCCCATGCCACCACCATGCACACAGGCATACATGCACATGCCACAACCCCCCACACAGGCACACACCATGGGTACACATACAGACATATGGCTGCTTACACAGCACCTGCACACAAGGGCACATGATCATCTACCACACCTGCACACACACAGTGGCACAAGACCACTCATACACCTGTACACAGAATCACACAGGCACACACAGACATGGGTACATAGGCACACACCACTGCACATACACATACACATGGGCACAAGCCACTCACACAGCACATGTACACACACGAGCACATGCCACCACACAGCACACACACACACACACAGAACAACAGCAGATGCCCAGACATAATCTATAAAGACTCACACAGTATCTGCGCGTGCCACCTGCACACACACACACACACACACACACACACACACACACACACACCAGCCCCCTCCTATTCCCAGGGATCCCAGAGAGAAACTCAGCCACTGGGCAGTGTGGACTGGTAATAAAACACCCACCTAACAGTTGTGTTCCCTCCAGTCCCTCCTGTTAAGTCACCTCAAACCCCCACTTCACAGGACCATGAGGGAGCGAGGGAGCCAGAGTGCCCTTTTGACTGTGTGTGCACAGTCCCCTTCCCCGTTTGCAGAGAAGTCAGTGGTATGATGGGACAGGAGAGGGAGGAGCAGGGGAGTTGTAGAGTGTCCACCCACCTCTTGTGGCAGTGTTCCCTCACTGGCCCACCTGCAACCGAGCGGAGTGGCCTCCTGGCTGGCTGGGCTGCTGCAAGGAGCCTCCACAGAGAGACCTGGGAACCGAACCTGAACCTGGCTTAAGAGCCTTCAGCCCCCAGCCTGGGTGACTGGAGCTAATCCGGGTTGGCCCTAAGCAGATCAGTTTCAGCACCACCTCTCTGAGCTGAGCGGGTGCAGCCCCCTCCCCATCCCAGTCTCTCCCTGGAGGGAAGAAGGCCCCTCCCCCAAGCAAACAGGAGGGCAGGTGGGGAGGTGGTAAGTACTTTATGGGATTAGCTGTCAGCCATCCTGACCCCCTGTTGGTGCTCATGAGCATGGGGGTGCAGGAGAACTGCTGACCTCAGCACCAGGGAGGGGCTACAGCCCTACAGTCCCCACTCACGGCATCCCAACCTACTAGAGAAGAAGCAGGTGGGGACGAAGCCCCTACTGTCTTCCCCATGAACCTTGACCCTTGAAGTGTCCACTCCCTGAGGAGTCTGCTCAGCTGCTCAGGCACTGGTTTGTCTCCGTCTTTGGGGTGAAAGTTTTGCCCAGTGGGAATCAGGATACTTGTGCTCCCTGCCTTAGGGGCTTGCCAGAGGCTGTGGGACAGCCTGGCCTGACCTGAACAGCCCAAGCAATCAGGGTCTTGTGCGGGATGGGAATGCGTGAGCCCCAGCATGAAATTCTCACAGCACAGACACCCCCGGAGGGTGCAGTGAGAGAGAAGTGAGGGGACAGCCCGGGCCAGCAGGGGTACAGGGTCTGTGTCCCCAGGTGGGTTTAGCTGGAGGAACAGACACAAGGCACACAAGGCTGCAAGGCACCTGTGTAGACTGAGAAGGGGACAGACAGGTAGAGAAATGACTGGACAGAGACTAGTGGATGGAGACCGAAGGTAGGGTCGAAATGCGGATGGACCAATGTCCAGCCAGAAGAACAGAGGCAGGACAGAGGCCAGGCCAAAAGGATTTGAGATGAGACAGAGCCAGGCCAGGGTGGAAGATAGCAGCTGGGCTGTGGCCTGCCCAGAGCCTTAGACTTAAGAGTGTGCTGTGGCCGGATGGGTCAGCTGTGTCATAACGTTTTCCTGGCTCAGCTGTGGCGCTTCCCCTCTCACCCCAATGTCCCCTTGTAAAGCCCAGAAAATCATTCCAGCCCCTCTGAGGGCCCCAAAGGCCCCAAGGAGCCCATCCAACCCTGCACACACTTGGCTTCATCTCTTAGCAGGGGCCCCTGCATTTGGACATGGGGCTCCTCCCCAATGGCTGAGCAGCAGTGGGGGGGGGAGTAGGGGTGGTGGCACGCAGGAGGGGAGGAGGGCAGAAGGGCAGCTCTGGCTTCCCTTACAACTTCGCTAACAAATTTATTCCGCAGCTTCCCAAGTCAGAGGCTCATAAAATGTCACTGTTCATGACGGTTCATAAAAATGATCAGTTGAGCCGGCAACTTCAAAATGAGGTAGAAATACGTTTAAAGATGTTTTCATTGTAATTCGACTCCTGAATCCAGACATTCTCAGAGACATAAATAATAATACCCCTGGCACAGCGCCAGGCTGGGAGAGACGGGGGCGGGGGGGTGGACAGATGACATAGCCTCTCCTGTTGTCCTCCCCAGAAGCCTCAAGGGAAGGGAAGGCTTGATCCCACAGACAGGAAACCACAGCCTGGGTCCTGCAGATGAGCTGATAGCCCCCCCCCATCCCTCTGGACATAGCTGGGGGTCTCCCCATGCACCTCATTGCTCACAGAGCCCCTCTTTCACTGACACACTAATCTTGGATTCACCTGCTCACCATTCTTCCAGCCTGAATCACCATGGGCTAGGGCAGACCCCCAACCCAGAAGATGGACGCTCCAAAAGACCTTTTTTCTTTTCTTTTTTTTTTTTTTTTTTTTGCTTTTTGGGTCATACCCAGCGATGCATAGGGGTTACTCTTGGCTCTGCACTCAGGAATTACTCCTGGCAGTGCTCAGGGGAACATATGGGATGCTGGGAATCGAATCCGGGTCGGCCGCATGCAAAACAAATGCCCTACCCGCTGTGCGCTATCGCTCCAGTCCCTTCCAGAGGACCTTTTCAAAAGATGCTTCTGACCATGCTCCTGACCATGAATTTTCAGTGGTTCCCTATTTCTAAGAGGCAAATGCCCAGACTCTAGGCCTCTGAGAGTCCAGTTGAGCTGGACCTGCCCACATTTCCCCATCCCTCCCCTCTCTCATTTCCCCCATCTTTGCAGATACCCACTTCTCTACTGACACTGTTTGACACAGACACATGTCACCTCCTCCTCTGTCCTCATCTACTGGGAGGGTTTCTGGGAGGATGGGAGGAGGAAGTTCACAGTCTTGCCTTGATGATCCCCATCTTGGGTTGATGGGCCCAAATGCCCAGTCCCCTGTGAGAGAATGTCCTCAGAGACCACACACCGTTGGGGTCACAACATGGTACAATGGACAGTGAGACCGAAAACCAAGGAGAGGAGGGAGGCTGATTTATAGGAAGACCCTGGGGCGTGGAGGACAGCCCCTGCCTGTGCCTGAGTGGACAGAGGCCTGGCCTAGGCAGTGGCCTACCTGCAGGAAGTTTCTCGGAAGGAGATGTTCACATCCCAGTGGGTGTGGACTCTGTCAGGAGAGAAGCAGAGGGTCAGTTCTAGGTCCCTAGAGGGCAAACCCTGGGGCGCACGGCAGAGTCGAAGCTGCTGGTTATGTCCCAGAGGGACCCCAGTCTCCTCTGTGCTCGCCACTGAGCCCCAACTCTGGGTCTCTAGAGCAGCCCCGAGGGCTGGGATCAGGTGGAGAGGTGACCTTGTGACCAGAACCAGCACAGATGGGAGTGTCAGGCCACGCGGGTGCAGATACTTGTCCCAGCTGCTGTCACCTCATCTCCCTCAAGTGGCCACTGCACAGTGGAAGGATGCAGCAGGAGAGGACAGGGTGGTCAGGAGGGGTGGCTGGAGCCTGAAGCGGTGAGGTGCTGGAGACAGTGGAGGGGGTCTTCCCTCCCAGGAAGGCCACTGGAGCTGAGACCCTCTCCTCCCTCGGACAGCTAGGTTGGCCACCACCTCCACCTGGGCAAAACAGCTCTGCTGCACAGCTGCGTCCCATCCTAGCATGTGGCCCTGTTCTGGGCGGGGGGGAGAGGGGGGACACACAGGGCTCTGGGCTGCCCCAAGAGTCCTTGTCTTGTTTCATGAGTGATAGCTGCTGTGTCATCTGAGACAAGACAAGGTCAATGTGAACCCTAGCCCAGCCCCCAGGGAAACACTGCAACCCACCCTCCTGTTGCGGTCCCCATCTCAAAGACCCCCCACAGAGCCCCTGCACCCGCCCCCTACCCCCTGTGGGATTCATGGGACTCGCACCTTCTCTTCATGATACGGACATGTGGGCCCTCCTGCTTCAAGCCCAGCCGCCCACAGGCCAGGCCGCTGCCATCACTGTCACCATCACCGGGGGGCAATTCTTTCTTCAGGGCCCGAGCAGGAGGCAGGGCAACTGTCCTCTTATCTGCCAGTCGACCCCGGTTCTGGACAGGACAGGGTAGACAGGGAAGGTCAGGCCAAGGTGGGCATCTCAGTATCCTGGAGAGCTCACACCTTGGCTGCTCTCCCAGTGGGCGCCCAGACCAGCTGCAGAGACCCAGCAGACAGCTGGCTCCCCGCGAGAGCCTCGCACTCCTGGTCCAGAGCAAAGTAGAGTCTCCATCCTCTGCTGTGGGCATGAGGGATGCTAGAGTCACAACTGGCCAAAGGCCACAACAAGAGCAGGAAGACTTGAGCTCCTGGGTAGGGTGTCACAGCCCACTAGGGAAGTCAAGAGGTGAGAGGGCTCTGGCTCTGGGCATGGGCCTTGTCAGGCACTGTCCAGCCTGCTCTCCTCCAGGTATTCAGCCTGGCCCACAGGCAGACCCTGCTAGGAGCCTCACGCCACAGCAGGCCCCTGGCTTCACCTGTGTGTAGCTTTCTGCCCTTTTCTGTTCTGGGGGCTGTGCAGAGAGTGCACCCTGGGCCTGAGCCCACTGGCCCATGGAAGACAGCACCCCAAAGGTCACAGGTTACCAGTCAGAGGCCTAATCAGCCCAAACCCTTTGTCTCAAGGGCCTGCAGGTGAGGAATGGAAACTTTAAGTTTCCCACAGGCCCATTGCCACCTCCCAAGTCCATGGGTGAGTGCAGGAAGCACTGTAATGAGGCAGCTCACAGGCTCGGAGCAGCAGGAAGGCACATATATGCTCACATCAGTGCTCAGGTGCCCCTGTGAAGCCCACACCTGGCTCTTTCCAACCTTTAGCTGTTGCCTCCCCACCACACTTCCTCTGGTGGAATAAAGATGGTTACTTGTCACATTGGTCTATAGGTATGTCCTTTTGTCTAAGAAAAGGTTACTGACCCGCCAGGTGGCAGGGCCTCGGGTTATCTACTTTTTCTTGGGGCCACTCCCTCACTGACCAGACAATGATCCACCTTCCCCCAAGCTTGAGGAAGGTGTCTGGGAAGGCCCTGCCCTTCTGGAACTCAGGCCACCTTGAGTGGACATCCCCGCATAGGTAGTGCCCTGATAAGGAGGTGTGAGAACCCATCCCCCATAGTCCAGGGGAATGATGAGGACCTTCCTCTGCTACAGTCAGCAGGAGGGGCAGGGCTGGACAGGCCTGCTTTGTGGACTCTGCTGAGAGCCTGCCCTGTCACTGCAGGCACAACAGAGTAGGCACACTGGCGGGTGACCACTATACCTCTATACTAGCCTCAGGGCTCTAGGAACCACTAGGAAGGCTGCAGGCTGTAGCCCCAGCTCAATGTGCCACTGTTCTTCCTGTAAAGATCCCCTTCACCAGAGGGGACACTGGTGACAGCGAGAGCACAACAGTCAGTGATGTTGCTAGTGGGGATGATGCTAGAGCAGTCTCGCTGATACACAGTGGTTCCTGGGGCTCCTGGGGAAGGAAGAGGAACCAGAGCAGAAACACACAACCCCCCATCCCCAGGACTAGGCAGACTAGGCACACACACGCCTAAGAGAGACAGCCTTGGACATGAGCCTGTCAGCAGTGCACAGAAGTGAGAGCAGGGTGAGGTCTATCCAGGGGTTATAGAGTGGCTTGCATGGGTTTGCATGTTCTATGCCATGTGCACCCTCACATTTTGCCTTTGATGTGTGCGTCTGTGTGGCTCTGAGGTGTGCACATACCTGGTGTGTGTGTGTGTGCGTGTGTGTGTATGTGTGTGTGTGTGGCTGCCAGGTGTGCACATACCTGAGCACCTGTTTAAGCGGGATGAGGGGACAGTCTTTGTGAGGAAGTGAGGCTGGAAAGATATGGGGGTTCATTGCAGTGCCCCCCCCAAAGGGGGAGGTTCAGGAGCTGGGGGGACTAGGTCTGAGCTTCCCCTCATGGACAGCATGAACCTGGGAGCCACACAGAGGCAGCTCTGAGCTTGGTCCCGCTTCTCTCCCTCTGACCCTGTTATTACCTCGGGGGCTTGGTGCTGGCCTTGGGCAGTCTGCTCAGCCTCTCCATAGAAGTGTCCCCTCAACACCAGCATGGGAGAGGCAAGGCTCCTGCTTCCTGAACAGAAGCTCCAGACCTAACTGGGTCCCAGAAGCTCCCTTTCTGGCTCCAGCTGCTTGAACAGGAGCCGGGACTTTTGGTGAAGGCAGGTTGAGTGACAGATGGTACGTGCATGTGTGTGTGGTGTCTATGTGTGTGTGTGTGCTGTTTGTGGAGTGCACAAAGGTGAGATGAGGCTGCATCACCTTCCCCTGACCTCACATTTGTCCTCACAGATGTGCCCATGAAGTCCCAGCTTGCTACCTGTCATCAAGAGCACAGGATATCACCCCCACCTCAATTGGTGGCTGCCCTGTTTCCTCTCCCGCCACACGTCTAACTCTAGAAGCCAGGTCTTCCTGGGTTCTGTCCTTCTCAAATCCACTCTTTTAAAAAATCAATCCTTCAGCCTCCTTGCCTGAGAACACCAACCCCTCCCCTCGCTTTTTCTGTCCCCCCCACCTTGGCTAGTGAAGCAAGGGTGGAAGGCTACCCTGTACCAGCTTCCAACTTAGTTCTTTTTTTTTTTTTCTTTTTGGGTCAAAAAGCACTCCCGGCTATGCACAGGAGTTACTCCTGGTTCATGCACTCAGGAATTACTCCTGGCGATGCTCGGGGGACCATATGGGAAGCTGGGAATCGAACCTAGGTCGGCTGCGTGCAAGGCAAACGCCCTACCAGCTGTGCTATTGCTCCAGCCCCCCCCCCCCACTTAGTTCTTTTGCTACCAAAAGGTCATAGGACACAGATCCTGCCCCACCTGTGTCCCTCCCCCAGGCAGGCTTCCAGGCATATTCAGCCAGGTCAGCCAGCACACTCACAGCCCAGAACAAGTATCACCCAGTCCTGGCATCCCCAGGCTGGGCCAGTGGTATGGGGACCTGCAGGCCGATTGGGACACTCCCCAGTTTCAGTGAGAGACATTGTTCATGGACAGCGCCCCCCACCCCCACCCCCACCCCGCTGCACCCGGGTTCAGGCGTGGCAGGTCCCAACACACATGGGCAAGACTGGCCCTGCTTCCACAACAGAGGGCCCTCAAGGCACCGTCCGTTCCCACTCAAAGCATCTCCCTTGATTCCCCTTTGGGGACCCCGTTGCACACAAACAGGTTTGAGCAAACACAGGCAGAAGCTCTGCAGAGGAGAAAGAAGCCCCGAAGCCCCCCACTTTTCTCCCACATCTCACCACCGGGGACGATATTCGACAGCCCGGGCAGTCGCAGATCGGAGGGTGCACCTGCAGAATCCCCTTGGACATAAGCGTCTTGAGACTTTTCCCTGCGAGGAGACCGAGCAGGACCAGTGAGGGGCCCAGGCCCACGGACAGCGCCGGTGCAGGCGGGCGAGGTTTGGGGCGCCGCCGCCGCCAGGCTGGTCCCAGTCCTGGCAGGTGGATGAGCACCCACCGCCGTTCAACTTCACAATCCGCGGCCGCGCTGCCACCCACCCGCTTCCCGGACGCCGCAGGGATCTGCAGAGCTCTGAAACTCAAGATCGGGCGAGCGCCCGCCCCGCGCGCGGCCGCCTCCTCCTCGCGCTCCGCCTCCCCGCGCCCCCCGCGCCCCGGCGCGAGCCCCACCCTCTGGTCCGCAGCAGCCGGGAGAGCGTTTGGGGGAGGCCGCGCGCGCTGCGCCGCGCCGCAGGATCTGGGGCAGCCCCCGCGGAGCCGCGACCCCCAGAGCCGCGCCCTAATGGGCCTCTAACTTTCTAAGTCCCCCCCCCCCACCTCCGCCCGCGCTTGCGCCGCCTCGGGGCGCCCCGGAGACAGACCCCCCGCAGGCGCCCCCGCCTCTTCTCTCCCCAACGCGTCCCCGGCTGGCACCCGCCTCCCGCCGGCGATTCCGAGTCCCAGAAACTTCCCCCGGAGCCCCAGGCCCGGGCGTCCCTCCAGACCTGCCGGGTGGGGCGCAACCCGAGCCCAGGGCACCGGCCCGGCCGAGGGGGTGTCCCTGTCGCAGCCCCGGAGTTGCAGCGCCCTCTCGGGGCAGAGGCGGCGGGTAGAGGGGGGTCTCCGGGACGCGAGGGAGGGGCGGCAGCGGCCCGCGCGCCCCTGCCGCCGCCGCACCTTTGTGGCGGATGCTGCGCTTCCAGTCCTTGGCGGTCTCGCGGCCACTGACGAACTGGAACTCGTTGGGTGTGAGCCACTCGCCGCGGTGGCGGATGGACGGCCCCTTGCTGCCCTGGCAGAGTTTGCGCACGTAGAGCAGCGCGCGATTGGCGCCGCACTCCACCTCGATGCAAGGCTCGCCGTTGTCCAGCAGCGGCTGGAAGTCCGGGGCGGCGGCGGCGGGGGCCGAGAAGCGCTCGAGGGCCAACGGGTCCCGGGGCAGGTGGAGGTGCGGGGCGGCCTCGTGCAGGCTCAGGTAGGCGCGCGCGGCACGGAACGGCGGGGCCAGCAGCGCCTCGTAGCCGGCGGTGGCCGCGGGCAGCGAGGCAGCCGGGGGTAGCGCGGCCGTGGCGGGCAGCGGTGCCAGGTAGCCGGGCAGCGGCGGCAGGGGCAGCGCGGCCAGGTTCGGGTGGAAGGTGGCCAGAGCCAGGGCCAGGTCTTCGCGGCCGGGGAGCTCCTTCTTGACCGCCGGCATGGCGGGCCAGCGGCCCTACAGCCCAGCTGTCGCCTCGGCGCAACTTGTCCCGCCGGGGCCGCACTTGGGTCTCGAGGGTGGGGGGCGCAGTGCCCGTCCGCGCGCCCGCCCTCCCGGCTACTGCGCCCGGGCTCCCGCCGCCGCGCCGCCGGCCGAACCCCTTCGGACCGGCGCCCGAGAGGCTGGCGGAGCCTCGGCCAGCCGAGACATGCTGCTGCCCAACGCGGCTATCGATCTTCGATCGACCCGCCGAGAGCCGCAGCTCCAGGGTCCCGGAGCTCCGCCGGGCGCCAAGAGTGCGGCGCCCGGGCCACCTGCGCCCGCGCCCCCAGGGGCGGCCCCGCGCCCGGCTCGCTGGTCGCCGGACGGCCGGTGGCGGCCGGGCAATGAGCAAGCCGGGACGTCTCGGGCCCCGCGCCCCGCCCCGCCCCGCCCCGCCCCGCCCGGGGGTCCCGGGCCCCTGGCCCTGCCCCGCCCCCCGCGCTCCCGCCCGCCCCGGAGCGCGCCCGCCCGGCGGGGACTTGGGAGACTCCCGCCGCCGCCGCCGCCGCCGCCGCCACAACTTGGCCCATTTAAACGGCCCCGGCGCGGCGGGCGGGCGGCCGCGGGCTCCAACAGGGGGGCCGTGACAGCCGACTGGGCTCACGCGGGAGGCAGCGAAGGTGAAGGCGGAGGGCAGCGGCCACTGCCCTGTTCCCTTGGGGACGAGGGACGGAAAGCGGGTGTAGTGATGAGCGAGCCGAATGGGTTGTGCGGGGACTGCTATTAGGGGAGTCTTTATTTGGGTGCGAGTCCTGGACCCCACGAGAGGCAGAGGCGGCCCGGGGCTGGGTGGGCTCCTCAGGGAGGCAGGGACCATTCACCCATGTCCGTTCAGGCCTGTGTGCATAGGGGTGAGAAGTTGTGACTGTCCGCAAAGGTGCGGCGTGGGGCGACTATGCGGATTCCCTCTGCCCTTGCTGTCTCATCCTGTAGGCACACCTGCATCATCTTGTCCGTCAGGTGGATGAGGGGCTGCCCCACAGAGAGGCCGGACTCCTGATGGCACAGACTGAGCATCTGGCCACAGGACAGAGTCTGTGCCGTGGTACCCAGCTCCTGAGAGAGGAGTGAGTTTGGGGGAGGGAACACATTTCCACTTCCTCTTAAGCACAAATCTGGGGAAAGGGAACTTATCTCATCCAGGCCTACCTGGGTGCCGTGGAGGGGCCCCTCAGCCCTAACCCTGCCGGGAGTCAAACTAACCGACACCTCCCTACAGCTCAGGAAGGCAGCAGGAGAAAGCAAGATGCCCTACACTGACAGACAAACTAGTCTCTCTGGAGTGTTTGCTGCATTCTCCCATCAACCCCCCCACACCACACACACACACACACACACACACACACACACACACACACATCCAGACCACCAGGATTCTGGGTATCTCCACAGGGTTTCTCCCATCCAGGCTCTTGGGAGCTGCCCTCGGACTCGGAAGGTCCTGTTGGGGGGGGGGGTTGTGGTGGGGGGAGGCTGAGAAGCCACACCACCACACTTCCTGCTGGACACGTGGCTGATCGCTGCTGATCATAGGGCCTTCCTGGTGGACCACACACTGGCCACTGCCTCTTCAGCTGAAGCTGTCAAGCAGCCCCAAGGTGGAACTGAGGGTTGGTCTGAACTCTCACAGGACCACGTCCTGGAAGCCCTGGAACTAGACCTCACATCCCCTTTCTCTCCCTTGCTGGGTCACTGCATGTGCAGTTGGAGTCTAAGGTCTAAGGTCTAAGGTCTCAGGGGGCAATATGCAAGTGACCATCAGTGACCCCTCCTCATCCCTGCCCTGTTGTCCAGATTCAGCCCACCTGGTGTGAGGCCCATGGTTAGCCTCTCGGTGGGAGAACTGTCTGAGACCACAGCTTACGTGGAGGGGACACACGGCACTGACTGGTGGCCATCGCTGGTGTGGGGAAGCTGTCAGTGTTCAGCTGGAGACAATGTGGGATGAGCCATGCACCTACTGTCTGCTCACAGCTGACCCTGTTTCTTCCAGAACCTTCTCTTCATTGGTGCCTGGACACTGGGGGCCTTCAAACTGTGATTGAGGAGGCCTGCCTGGGCACTGACCAGAACTTTTCCCTCCAGGGGCTGCCAGAGGCTTTCCATGTGCTCCTCCCACTTGGGGGGGTCCTTTCTTGTCCTGGAGTGAGGATCTGCCCACTTCCTCCCTCTCTGGACAACCAATGTCCAGTCCTTAATAAATGATCACTGGTCCCAAGCACCCTAGGACGCCTTCCTTTCCAGGACCACCCCCAACTCCCCAGACATTGCCTTCTAGGGACAGTGCCTGGCGATTAATCAGTGAACAGTGCAAATTTATTTCTATTTTTGCCACACCCAATAGCAGCACTCAGGGCTTACTCCTGGCTTTGTGCTCAAGGATCACTCCTGCTTGGGCTCAGGGGACCGTGTGGAGTGCTGGGGAGTGAACCCAGGTGTGATGTGTGTGAGGTGAGTGTCCTCGGGGCTGACCCATAGCTCAGTCCACAGCAGTGCTGCTCTAGCTCTGTCACTGAGCCCTTTGCGGAGGAGCCCTTTACCATGGACACCTTGGCTCTGACTTTCTCGTGAGGTCCTGGTGCTTCCTCTCTCCAGGGGAACCCAAATCCCTCTGAGCTTTGGCCGGAGGAGGAGGCAGAGGCAGCAGCCGCCAGGAGAATTCTAAGGTTAGCAGCATTTCCTGCCGTCACACTAGCCCAGAGGCACAGCGGGGAGCCCAGGTGGGAAGACCCTGCCCCCTCCTGCCTGTAGTTGTGGCGCCTTCGGTGCTCGGTGCTCACAGTCCCCCCGCTCGGGGCCCTTCGCCGCTGGGCTGAGCTGAAGCCGCCGCCGCCGCTGCCGCCGCCGCCGCCGCCGCCGAGGCCGCCGAGGGCGGCAGGGAGGAGGAGGGGAGCGGGGGTCATAAATAACCCTTGGGGCTGCCCGCTTGGTGCAGACTGTGACCAGAGACATCCCCCTGGGATCCAGCTGCCGGCAGACCCTGTTGCCCCCGACACAAGCCCACACAGGCTGGTCATCCTTGACGGCCCCCTCTGGGGCTCCCCAACCTTTCCACTGCTGGCACTCCTACCAGGATCTCCCTGGCTCCTGCAGAGCCAGCCCGGCCTCCCCTCACTGCATGTTTGCTTCCTGGCCCTTCTGCTTCTCTTTGGGGCACCGAGGTGATCCTAAACCCAGGATATCCCAGAGGTGAGACTGGCCCCAGCCCTACCTTCCAGAGATCAGGTGACTGAGGGGTGGGGCAGCAGACCCATACTCACCTAGTGACCAGAGCCACCAGGGTTAAGCCCTCAACCATGCGGAGTGTGGGGATCCTGGACACCCACCAGAGCAGCCTGGGACAGGCCCCCACAAGACAAGTGCGCTCCGATGCAGACAGGGCCACCACCCAGGCAGAGTGTGCAGACCTCTGTGTACCAGAGCCAGGAGGGCAGACACCTGATAGACAGCACTGACCCTGACCCTAAGAGGAAGTTGGGTTGGTGGTTTGTCCAGCAAGAGTGGTTCAAGTTCCCAGGAATGTGTCTGCTCCTGGACAGGTCCTGCCGGGCTGGGGTGGAGGGGGAAGCAAGGGGAAGGATGCCTGATGCCATCCCCACCCAGGAGGGGAGGTATTGGTGAGGGCAGGTCCACTGATCTGAACTGGTGCCACTGAAAGGAGCGAGAGAGGGACTGGGAGCAATCTCTCTGACTCATGTGGGGTCCCAGGGCACACACTGTCAGCCTGAAGCCTTGTGTTGTGATAGCACTGCCATGACCCCCCAACACTGATACATGTGACCCCCTTCTCACATACAGGCAGCGGCTCCAGCCATGAGCCTATCACCACACATGTGCCACACACACACAGTGCGTTGGATACAGTGGCTCTGCCAGGTGACACTGTTGGTCTGGCTACATGGATGGGGGTTCTGCCCACCTGACCTGTCCCTAAGGAGTGAAGACTCTTGCCTGCTGGTGTCACTGCGGCAGATAGTGGTGCCGAGGTCTCCCCAGATCAGAGAGCTCTGTGGGTCCCACAGTGGCCTGAGATCCTGTGTTTCCTGGTCAGTGAGGGACCAGCCAACCATTCTTGCCTTTCTCACCTTCACCACCTGAAAATGAGAGGGGGAGGGGCTGGAGAGATAGCACAGAGGGCATTTGCCTTGCACGTGGCCTACCCGGGTTCGATTCCCAGCATCCCATATGGTCCCCTGAACACCGCCAGGAGTAACTCCTGAGTTGCAGAGCCAGGAGTAACCCCCTGTGCATAGCCGGATGTGACCCAAAAATGAAAAAAAAAATGAGAGGGGGACTTTGTGGAGAAGTAGTGCAGTCTGAGAGAAGGGCAGTGTCCATGCCCATGTCAGCGGTGAGTACCTGAAATGCCTCCTCCAAAGAGTGGCCCAGAGTGTGGGGGCAGGGGGCTCCCCACCAACGTGGCACCACATAAAGAGAAAAAGAAGTGTCTAGGAGCAAGAGAAACTGCTCCAATCAATGAGTGTGAGAGTTGGGTTTCCCCCAAACACTGCTAGCCTGGAGCCTGGAGCTGCCCAGGAAAGGTAAGTGGCTGCAGGTTGTGTAGATGTGACTGCGTCCCTGTCGGTGGGTGCCTAGGTCCACGCAGACACCTCTCTAGGCACAAGCAAGTCACCACCACCCTGTGTTCACTGTTTGGGGGCGGGCAGGTTCCATTCCACCCCCAGGGACCCCAGGATGCCCCATGAAGGCAGAGCCTGAACAGAAGGTGGAGGAGGCCTGTGCTCAGGTGAGAGGTGCCCCTAAACTCACATATGCTCCCTCCTTCTGGGCCCATACCCTGCTGTCCACATGCTGCAGGCTCCACACGTACTCTGTGAGAACTGTGCGTCTTGATGGAGGCATGGGCCATCCCCATATTGGTGCTGTCTGCTCATTCCTTGGCTGTGGACCTGGCAGACTGGCAAGTGTTCAGAGCCCACATAGTCACTGCTCAGACCCAAGGTTAGGGTTACAGGGCAGAGTGAAGCCCCCTCAGAAGTGTGGGAGTCAATACTAGGGCAAGAGTGGTTTAGGGAACTCTCCACCACGGGACAAGTGGGGTTCTGTAACCAGAACATCTCCAGATGAAGAGAAGTGTGAACTGAGAGGCCCTTTGGGGGACAGTAGGGGGTAACATCTCTGTGCCCAGGTGCTTCACAGGGAATCCAGACCCAGGTAGACATACACCTGGGTTTCCTGCCACACGTGAACTCCTTTGTCCTTGAATAGCCCCTGGGCAGTATGGTACAGGTTGGCAGAAGTGTGGCCTATACTGTCCCTCTGGGACGTTCATTCCTCAGCATCTGCTATGGGCTTTGGCTTGGTCGGGACTGAACTTGGAACAACCTCCTGGAAATTCTTTAACTTCA